AGTAGTATTCCAGCAATATCACGGCGGGGACACCAGGATTGGGCTTCACACATTGTACCCATGTGAGGAATCGAACCCGGGTCTTCGGCGTGACGAGCGAACGCTTTAACCACTAGGCTACCACACCGGCCCTATTTCAATAAAGAAGTTGTCTATCCATAAAATAGTGTTCCTCTTCAAGGTATAGGAAATGTCGTGTGAAACTGATCTCATGTATCTCGTATGTATTTAAATGTCTTCATTTTTCATAATACGCATCGGGATTAGTGGGACACCCGTGCAGGATTTTTTTCAATAGACAGAGCCTAGTCGTTGACGAGGTTTCCTCTCTATCGGGCGCAACTCAATTACCTACGTTGAAAGCAGCCTGTACGAGTTTCTTAAACCTTTGTGCAGCGGTGTGACTGAGTGTAGCGCAACCTAATTCCTCACAGCATGATTGCCTTTATAACAACAACTGAAGGTCAGCTCACTTGCGAAATACCTGCGCCTGAGTAAATAGAAAATGCTGCATTCAGCGTAACTCGGACATTGTTCGTTACAGCTTGGCTAATGTTGACATGGTTTAAAGACTGCATCCCGTCTATTGCACGTCAGCCATGACTCGTCCTTTCAGTTCAACCAGTAACCAACAATTTGAACGATTCTGAAAAAACTATTATGTTTACTCGTCCGACCCATTCTGGTATTTAGAGCAAAACATTTTAAGCTGAGAACTAGTACACTAAAGAGAGTTTCGTTCCTAAACCGTATATGTATATATACAAGTAATACCTCATACCTGTATGCACCACTAATGCCTTATACGAGTATGTACCAATGATATCGAATGCGTATATACACCAGTAATACCTTATACGCGTACACACCAGTAATACGTTATACATGTATACGCCAGTAATACCTTATACGTGTATACACCAGTAATACGTTATACGTGTATATACCAGTAATACCTTATACATGTATACACCAGTAACACCTTATACGTGTATACACCAGTAATACGTTATACGTGTATATAACAGTAATACCTTATACATGTATACACCAGTAACACCTTATACGTGTATACACCAGTAATACGTTATACGTGTATATAACAGTAATACCTTATACATGTATACACCAGTAACACCTTATACGTGTATACACCAGTAATACGTTATACGTGTATATACCAGTAATACCTTATACGTGTATACACCAGTAATACCTTATACGTGTAAATACCAGTAATACCGTATACGGCTATACACCAGTAATACCGTATACGTGTATATACCAGTAATACCTTATACGTGTATATACCAGTAATACCTTATACATGTATATACCAGTAATACCTTATACGTGTAAATACCAGTAATACCTTATACGGCTATACACCAGTAATACCTTATACGTGTATATACCAGTAATACCTTATACGTGTATATACCAGTAATACCTTATACATGTATACACCAGTAATACCTTATACGTGTATACACAAGTAATACCTTATACGGGTATACACCAGTAATACCTTATACGGGTATACACCAGTAATACCTTATACGTGTATATACCAGTAATACCTTATACGAGTATACACCAGTAATACCTTATACGTGTATACACCAGTAATACCTTATACGTGTACATACCAGTAATACCGTATACATGTATACACCAGTAATACCTTATACGGGTATACACCAGTAATACCGTATACGTGTATATACCAGTAATACCTTATACGTGTATACACCGGTAATACCTTATACGTGTATATACCAGTAATACCTTATACGGGTATACACCAGTAATACCTTATATACACTAGTAATACCTTATACGTGCATACACCAGTAATACCTTATACGTGTATACACCAGTAATACCTTATACGTGCATACACCAGTAATACCTTATACGCGTATACACCAGCAAAACATTATACATGTATACACCAGTAATACCTTATACGTGTATACACCAGTAATACCTTATACGTGTATACACCAGTAATACCTTATACGTGTATACACCAGTAATACCTTATACGTGTATATACCAGTAATACCTTATACGAGTATACACCATTAATACATTATACTGGTATACACCAGTAATACCTTATATACACCAGTAATACCTTATACACGTGTATACACCAGTAATACCAGTAATTGTGTATACCAATACCTTACACCTGTGTATACATGTGTAGTAATACCTTATACCAGTAATACCTTATACGTATATACGTAATACCTTATACACCAGTAATACCAGTACACCAGTAATACCTTATACGTGTACCAGTAATACCTTATACCCAATAATACCTTACGCACCAGTATATACCAGTAATACCTTATATACGTGTATATACCAGTAAATACCTTATACGTGTATACACCAGTAATACGTGTATATACCAGTAATACTATTGCCTTGTACAGTATATAATACCTTATACGTGTATATACCAGTAATACCTTATACGTATATACCAGTAATGCCTTATACGGTATACACCAGTAATACCCTATACGTGTATATACCAGTAATACCTTATACGTGTATACCAGTAATACCTTACACGTGTATACACCAGTAATTACCGTTATAATACCTTATACGATGTATATACAATACCTTATATACGTGTATACACCAGTAATACCGCTAATGCATGTATACCCAGTAATACCTTATACGTGTATACACCAGTAATACCTTATACGTGTGTATACCTTATACGTAATACCCAGTATTACACCTGTGTATACCATACACCAGTAATACACTATACGTGTATACCCAGTAATACCTTACACGTGTATATACCAGTAATACCTTACACCTGTGTATACCAATAATACCTTACATGTGTATATACCAGTAATACCTTACACGTGTATATACCAGTAATACCTTACACCTGTATATACCAGTAATACCTTACACGCGCATATACCAGTAATACCTTACACCTGTGTATACCTGTAATACCTTACACGCGCATATACCAGTAATACCTTACACGTGTATATACAAGTAATACCTTACACCTGTGTATACCAATAATACCTTACACCTGTGTATACCAGTAATACCTTACATGTGTATATACCAGTAATACCTTACACGTGTATATACCAGTAATACCTTACACCTGTGTATACCAATAATACGTTATATACCAGTAAAACGTTATACTAGTGTATGTTACTAATTAAGGTAGGAGTTTTCACTTAATAATAAAGGTGAACTGTCTTAACAGGTGTGTTGTTCGAGATAGTATTTCTTTGGTTTGCTAACAACAGAGCGGCAAAGGGATACCAAAACCCATGCATAGAAATGAACTTTGAGGGAGGGTTTTGTATTTGTGGTTCATGCTTGCTCAAGCAGTCCATGTGATAATATAAACATACATCTAAGTGGTTATGTAAACATGCATACCCTAAGTAAATATACAAACATCACGAAGGTCGAATCTTGCATGATAAGTCAGTAATGTGCGAGTCGTGACTTCTCAATATTTGACATAGATCATGTGTTTACTTTGCAATGATCGAGAGAGGTGTGTGTGTGAGAGTGAGTGAGTGATTTAGTTTTATGCCGCACTGCGCAATATTCCAGCTGTATGACGGCAGTCTGTAAATAATCAGGTCTGGACTAGACAATCAAGTGATCAACATGATCAGCATCGTTCTACGCAATTGGGAAACGATGACATGTGTCAACCAAGTCAGTGAGCTTGACCACCCGATTCCTTTAGTCGCTTCTGACGACGAGCATGGATTACTGAAGACCAATTCTAACCCGGATCTTCATGGGTGGGTGGGTGAGAAAAGGGACACAGAGAAAAGAGGGGAGGGAAAGAGACCGAACAGGAGTGATATAAAGGGAGAGATAGAGAGAGAAAAAGAAGACAGAGGATTGTGTGAAGTGAGGAAGATAACGAGTAATAGCAGCAGTGGTAATACTTTATACGTGTATGCAATAGTAGCACAACATAATTATTATTCTAGTTACACCTTAACGTGCATTAAATGGTATTACCTTATAAAAAAATATATATTCTAGTAATACCTTACCCGTTTATATGCTAGTTACACCGTTTACGTCTACGGAGCAGTATTACGTGTACAGAGCAGTATTACGTGTACGGAACAGTGTTAGGTGTACGGAGCAGTATTACGTGTACGGAGCAGCATTACATGTACGGAGCAGTATTACGTGTACAGAGCAGTATTACGTGTACGGAGCAGTATTACGTGTTAGGGGCAGCATTACATGTACGGAGCAGTATTACGTGTACGGAACAGTATTACGTGTACGGAGCAGTATTACGTGTACGGAGCAGTATTACATGTACGGAGCAGTACTACGTGGCACGTGTAGGTGTTTGTAATTATGTAAGTAAGGCGGACGCTTTAGTTTCACTTTAAAATGGTATGGTAATATATTTTAAACAGAAAAACTTATATGTTACCATTATTAACTTCCGGAAACAACTTCCTTAGAGAACGATGGGAGTTATCGGTGTGCCTATTTCTTTCGTTTGCTAGAATGAAAAAAACCCACACTTTTCAGAGATAAAGGTGACAAAACCTCCAGCGAAGGAAGGGTGGGGGTGGGGGTTGGGGGGGACCAGTGACATTGGTTCATGCAGTCACTTCCCTGTGCGTTGAACTTTTGGGGAAGGTTCTCTATATGCTGGCTAAATAAAGGAAGCACGTGTGGGTATTCTTCAAACAGTCCACGTATGCACACACATCTAATTGATTTTATTTATATAATATTGATTTCTCAGTGTCTGATATATGGACAATGCGTTTGCAATTTCCACCCGTTTTCACGAGTTTCAATTGTCATTTAATAAGCTTTTGATAACCACACACACACACGCGCGCGCACACACGCACACACACACACACACACCTCTGGATCCGACTATGTAAGGCAAGTATTCTTTGTGTTAACCTTCCTTTAACGCCTTACAGATGTCCACGCCCAGACTTCCTGCAGCGTCCGACGTGATGCGGCGTGTTTGGCGAACATGAGGTCACTCTTCACCAACACCTCGGCCTACTGGTTTGGGACGAGGTTCGCGACGGACTGCCCACCCGGCAGTGAGGGACTCTTGTGCAGAAATGCCAGACCATTAGGAACCTCCCTCTTCACTCGACTGATGGGCGTCAACGCCACCGACTCCAGCGGTTTATCCTTCGTCATCGACGTCACGTACCCAATTACCCTTCCAGGTAAGATACACCGTCAGTGCTTACATTTTGTCCTTCCATTTACGTATTGATGAAAACGGAAACTTTAATTTTGTAATTCGAATCACTTATTTTGAGAAAATCGCTATATTTCATGTAGTGACACGGGGTAATATACCGTTAAACTTCACTTTACAGTGTGCAGCACAAAAATCCGATAATAATGGATTCCAACCTACACTGGACCTTAGATAAAGGGAGGTAACTCTAATACGATGGTTGTTAGATAGTTAGACAGAGTAATACACATATTTATTATTAAATAATAGATATATAGTAAAGATGGAAGCAGATCGGAGATACGGTGGCATGGGCGTGTTTACTCACAAAATAGTGCTGGTTCAACAACATACTACATTTCACGCGCATATATATCTGATTTATTCTGCTTTCAGCAGATGGATCTGACCGTGAGTATTTTGGCCTACTCTTTCATTTACATGGCGCAGGTTAACTATTTGAAAGCAAGGTCATTTTTCATTAAATTCATGTTTTCGATAAATACATGTTTAATATTCAATCTTTAATTTTTTATATTTATTTTACTGATATCTAAAATTTGATTCTATCAAATAAACTATTTCTTGTGGCTACAAAATGAATTTATGATTTCTGTATACTTATTTTTCGATAGTTTTAAAATGTGTGCAATTTGAGTACGTGCTGTTACAAATAAGAAATTTTTGTAAAGTTAAAAATGCTATTTAGTGATGTCATGTATAGCTCTTGGTGACGTTTCATATTTGGTCTCCAAAACTGACAAATCATGCAGTCATAATTCCCTGCCTGTCTTTGGTGATCACCAGGAACATACCCCGGCTGTGGGAGGGTAGTGGACGTACCTTTGACAAGACCTCAAAATTTCTCCATCGACGCCCTAAGCAGTACCCTGTATCCCCCTTTCGACGTGCGCGAGCTTCCGGAAGTGACGTGGCCAGCGGAGGATAACGCTCTCTACACTGTCATGATGTATGACGCCGGCTTTTGCTTCATGCATGCTCTGTACATCAACATCGCCGGCGGCAGTCTTGGGAATGGAGGAGACGTAGGTGACGCTTCCTCTAAACAAGATAGGGGGTGGGGTAGCCTAGTAGTTAAAGCGTTTGCTCGTCACGCCGAAGACCTGGGTTCGATTCCCCACATGGGTAAGCTGTGTGAAGCCCATTTCTGGTGTCCCCCGCCGTGATATTGCTGGAATATTGCTAAAAAGCGGCGTAAAACCACACTCACTCACTCTAAACAAGATATACTCTCAAGCAAAAGAAAGCATACATTTGAAAAATGGATTTGACCAAAAATTAACGACAATATCAGAACAGTCAGCGAAACACCATCGCGATGGCCCTTATCAGCCGCCATATGATTCCCAGAGCAAATCTCCCACTTCTCCATGTCCCCGTTTCATTATTTAGGTAAACCTTCCAACAAATGTCATGCAACTCAGGGTCTAAAAAGGTGACTGAACGATTAACAAGAGGTGAGACTTTCAAGAACTAGAGAATCAAATCTTCTACGTTATATCGATTGTTTAAAGATAGACATTATGCACTTTCTGCTCAATTACATATAAAACCATATTTCACTTAAACGTAGGTCCCTGTTGCTTCATACGCTGTTACCTCGAGTGCTTTGAGAACTTACATAGTTTGGTATATACTTACATATAAATGATATTTGATTTCGGAAACAAACATCTGTAGAGATCCTGGTCCCGGATTATATCCGATGCTCGTTATCAGTCATCCTCGATAATCTCCAGGGTATACGTTACGATCACTCTCCACTATACCCTGGATGCATCCACGGCTTGGCCCGATGATTTTGTTACCTCCCTTGGCTGGCTTTTTATCCAATCAGGTGTCTTCGCTGGGAAGTTAAGCGAACCAATCACAAATCACTTTCACTTCTTAAATTATCTAACCGTTAAAACTTGGCAACACAATTGATGCAGAGGTACTCTGAAAGAGGTAGAAGGCGTTCTTTATATATTTTTGAAAGTTTCAGATCTGTCAAATTGTCTTAATTATTTCCTAAAATATCTGAGTGGCACTGCGAACAAACCTTCACGACTGCGACCGCTGTCTTTGTTGATATTGGCAAGGTCGGATGTAACGGCGGCTTAGTTGATTGGCTACTGTGAGAATGCGGAGCCAGCAAAGGGAGGTGATATAATTATTGGGCCTAGCCGTTGCTTGACAGTTTTAAGATACTGGAACCTTGTCAGTGAGTCTGTAATACTTCCAATTTTCCATAACATATTATGTCATAAAACATTGGTAGAACTTTGTCCAGGTTTTCCGTGTTGATAGTATTGTTTTAGCTTTATGTCGAATCTGTATTCAGAAGTGTTCGAATCAAATGCTCAGTTCCTGACTCTGTGGTACGCTGCCTCTAGTCTTTCCCCTGTAATGGAGGATGCAGAAATAATAATGTCAAGGACTGTGTACGCCCTTTGTTGATCCTGGTTCGTGCCGTCAAAGGATTGGTAAAGCTGACAGTACACGGCATAATGAAATACTCACTCGCCATAACAACTCAAAATATTTCTGAAGGCACCTTCGCTAGGTGCCTTCAAACAAAAGAAGATGCCCATCATCGTGCTGATAATTTCTTTATAATGAGGGAGTTTAGTTTTACGCCGCACGAAACAATATTCCAGCTCTATGGCGGCGGTTTTGTAAATAATCGAGTCTAGACCAGACATTCCAGTGATCAACAACATAAGCATCAATCTACGCAATTGTGATACGATGACATATGTCAACCAAGTCAGCGAGTCTGACCACCCGATCCCGTTAGTCGCCTCTTACGACAAGCATGGGCTACGGAAGATCAATGCTAACCCGGATCTTCACGGGTCATTTTCTCTATAAGTTCAGAAGCTCATAAGTCGAATACGGGAATACGTTACGGTGTCAAGCGCAAACATGAAAATTCAATTGGGTCAATTTGATCACGTGTTACTTATTGTCTTTATTCCTTGGGTGCCGCTCGATGGACTCCTTTAATAATTACCTATCTACCATTTGTTCCAGACCATACTCCGCCACCAGGGGCCTGGAAACCCCGTGGACAGGGCGACACCCTACGTCTGGCTTGTGTTTAAACAAGAGAGACAACTGGACGTCTCCAGCGTCAACAATACTTACCTGACACAAACCGCCGCTAACGGCGGGACGGCCTTCGTTGATGACTTAGTAACGGCGCTGGGACTTTCAAGTAAGATTTATAGTTTAGAAGAAGATTTCCTCTTTAGTTTCCGATTATGAAGTAACTTTTTAGCATTCCGAATCTGCCAACATTGTCATAGTAGCACGTCTTGAACTGATACACGAAAAAGGGGGATTTTACATTTTCGTATAAATCGAATACTGTGCACAACGAAACAATTTTACATTTCCAGTTGTTAGAATTGGATATGATGCTAATCAACTTTGTGATTTGTTTTGGGTTTCTTTTACCAAAAATTCCAGCATCTTTTTTTCAAAGCAGGACTGTAACAAATGTTTTTGCACACGTTACGTTTGAGTATCTCCTCGCATACTGTGTTTGGTGTCCATTTCTGGTGACCCCCTCTGTGATATTTACTGGAATATTTCGAAAAGCGTCCAAAGACAATACAATAGAGTTCAAGATAAAACACGCACAATAAATCCTCATAACCAAATATATTTGGATTTGCAAAAAGAAATCAACTTTTCTTTTTACCTCTCTGTCCTATTAAATCTTTATTTACGTTCCAGGGCCCCGCTCCTCAAAGCGATCGCAGCGCTAAGGTGATCGTAACTCCCATACTTTAACATAGACTTACAACTGTCGTAGCGCTACGATCGCTTTGAGGAACGGGGCCCTGGGTCCCGCTCCTCAAAATGATCGTAGCGCTACCACAGTCGCAAGTCTATGTTAAAGTATGGGAGTAACGATCATCTTGGGCATAGTTCCACATAGCGATCGTAATGCTACGACTATCGTATAGTAAGTCTATGTTAGAGTTTTGTTGAGTTACGATCACCTTAACGCTACGATCGCTTTGTGAAACGGGGCTCTGGGCATAAGTTCCACATCAATCGTAACGCTACGACTATCAAAAGTCTATGTTTAGTAAGGGACTTATGATTACCTTAGCGCTACGGTTGTTAAGCAGAACGGGGCCCTATCTCCTTGTGGAACGTTATGTTCTGCGTGATGATTTATGTGACTTAAGTGAGGTAGTTTGCGTTAGGTGTAACTATTAGGGCTGTGCATTGCTAAGTAAATAGTATTGCAATATATTGCAGTTCTTGTAGCCGTATTCCGATACGTATTTCGATATATTGGGAACTTCAGTGTTTGACAGTGAGTGGCATTGATTGTACATGCATTGAGCTTATTTTCTACATATTAAATCCCTAAAAATGATATGGTTGTGATAACAGAAATCCCAAATTTAGCTTTGATTTTGAGGGACTGAACTTTTTAAAGGTCACATGCAACCAAAAAATCAAACATAATTAAAACACAATTATCACTTATTCGTGACATATAATATACATTGCTGGTTATGAAAAAACATATAAACAAAATTATAAGCGTACAATCGCAAATCAAAAGTGCAATATTGTGTACTTCGGTTTACTTCCCAAGAAACGAAGCAGCCGGGATACCGAACCCAGTCAGAGCGGGTGGGTGTGCACTCAAGTGTAACGGCTGGTTCATTTGCGTATGCCCTCACGGCTTATTGTGTGTGTATATGTAGAGATGTTGGGTTTTGTAAATACATTATCATTTTTTGTGTATAACATTTTGCAATCAACAGACATCATAACATGTCATGTGTTCAAGTATCACACCTGCCTGTATGTGTAATTACATAATGTGACAGAGACCGAACTCGGGCCATAAATCAATGCATTTTGTTTATGGCGTATAGCCTGATTGGTGTTAAGTTCAAATTGCATGTGGTCAGTGATAGCAGCTGTGTATTAAATATTGTCATTAGCAGACAGGCAGGCAGACACACAGGTGTCAATAAAACAAGACATTGAGTTTTGTCTGTGACAACGACATATCTATATCACAGTTAGAAATTCTGTCAACGCTAAATAATGACATTGCTTTTAAGTATCGAACTGAGAAAGTGACTCGGTAAGAAGAACGTGTGGTGAAATTATATAAACAGTTAATTTACTGTAATAACATATAAAAAGCTCGCGCCTGTGAGATATCAACAAAACATTAGAAAAATAGCTCACACCAAAGCCTTCACCGAGTATTCACCGGACAACCCGCTTCCAAGCTGCGCGAACCTATTTCACTGCGCACATGCTATGAGCGCAGCCCAGCTGTTGAAACCCGTTTTCCCCAGAAAAGTCGGGGGAAAATTAGTGAAACGTTTGAACTCCGATTTTGCGCGGTTTTTTTCATCGCGTTATTTTTCAACTTTATAAGTTGAATTTATAATTTGACGATTTGTTTCGGTAAGTCCATACCGAAAGGTATCAGAATCTGCAAAGTTGTGTTTTATGTTGCATGTGACCTTTAATGAAATTTATTATTTGTAAAGTATGCTGTTTTGTCAATCAATTCCAATTGAAAACTTTAGTGTGAATGAAAGTCTGTGTAGATTTTTGCTTAAGCCATAGAGATAATCACCACACTTCATATCTCTTTATTACGCAATATGCGGTTCAAAGAAAAACATTGCAAGGCGTATTGCTATACATCGGTTTACCGGTAATACCGTGGAGTCCTAGTAACTTTTATGGACTATTGACTTCTGTTTCGGCACAGTTTTGTCAGTCCCTGAATTTTAGCGAACTAACCACCTTGACTCTAGACATCGGTTGTATGATGCCAATCTAACACCTTGTTCCTGGTTACAGCTCAGACGTATGGCATCAACGTTGTCATGTCCGTGACGGATGAGTACGCCTGTGTCCTCATCCGGGCATGGGGATTACGTAACAGATGTCCAGTGTATTACGGACAATGTAAGTTGTACATAATTTTATGGTCATCATAATTTTCATTACCTCATCAATGCTTTTAATCATAAAGTAAAGTTGTCAAGTTGATTTTTTTTTAATTTCAAATAAAAGCTAGCACATCACTAATCCAATAACACTCGTTTTTTTAAACATTCTCTGAAAACAGTTTTATGTTTCTGAATATTGTTCCCTTTCTTCCTTTTCTATCCCGTTTTATTAATATATATATATATATATATATATATATATATATATATATATATATATATATATATTGTGTAGGTTTCATGAAGAAACATGTTAACAATGATAAGTAACCTTTTGATTACCTTTCGAGTTCATGTTCATCACTGTGTCCCCCGCCGTGATGTTGCTGGAACATTGCTAAAAGCGGCGTAAAACCAAACTCAGTCAGTCAGTCATGTTCATCACTGATGTGTTAATTTCTCCCGCCACATAGCTGGAATATTGCGCAGTGCGGCGTAAAACTAAACTCACTCACTAGCCCACTGTTCATTTCTCGCAAGACACCGCGATAACAAAGCCTGCTTCCAAAGAATGGCAAAAAATCTTCTTTGAAAGATTAACTTTAATATTACTGATAACAGCTGATACGAATGTGTTACAACACGTGGTTTGCAATCCAGTTATTATATGAAAGGTCAGCACACATTTCTTCACAAATTTGCTTTAAAAAAAGAAATACGTGTAGCTTGTAACAACATGTTAATCTTGTAGGGATGAGCCGCTACATTCAGGAAAGAGGAGGGCTCCCATCACTTCCAGACCGCCTGGATCTGACCGTCTCCATTGACCTCACCTTCACGGCCCCCGCTATAACGTACAAATCCTGCGACATTGTGTATCAGAAAAGGTTGGTACTGTTAGCCTGTTACGACCCCCCAACTACCCCCCATGGAGTTGACTTCGTGCGAAAAGATTTGTTTTGGTTTTTTTTGTTGGTTTTTTGTTTAACGCTGCACTCAGCAACAGTCCAGCTATATGATATAGTGATCAACGGTATGAGCATCGTTCTACGCAGTTGGGAACCGATGACATGTGCCGACAAAGTCAGAGAACCTAACCACCCGATCCTGTTAGTCGTCTCTTACGTCAACGACAAGCGTGGGTTGCTGAAGATCTATTCTTAAACGGATCTTCAAGGGTCTCGTGCAAAAAGAAGTATTCACATATATATCCCCGCTATAACATACATCTAAACACACATATGAAGTGTGCTATAGAATGAAATAACGAAATAGATTACTAGTAATCAGCGAAAAAGAATTGTTGTATCTATTTTAAAGTAATATTTTTCAACATATTTTACCTTGTTCCTTGGGGTTTGGGGATGTTGTTTATATCTTTATCACATTTGTTTGTTGTTTTTGTTGTTGTTTATGTACAGAGACCGACATACAGCTCCGATCATATTTCGTGAGAGAACAACTGAATGTTATGTTGTTTCAGTGCTTATTTGATAACATTCGTATCGTTTTCACAATGCTGGTACTGATAATACGAAGATTTTCAACATTGAGATAAAGAAGAAATATTTCTCTGTTTCAGCTCAGAAAACATCACTGTAGATTTTGCAAACAGGGGACTAGTAGGCGCCCTGGAGACTCGACTCTCCCCCCAAGTCAGACTGTTACCCGAGGTGATCCAACCTGTCTCCCCCGAAGTCACACTGAGAGGTGAGTGAGCTCACACCTGCAACTAATTTTGGGGCGGTGAGTGGGGCCGGATTGCTTTCCAAGAAAACATTTTGTTCCAGAAAAACACTTAGTTCAGCACACACAAAAATGCCACTGAAGAAATCTCACAAAATGTGACATCTGGACTATCATCCCCAAAAGTACCAAGCTTTTCGAAACGTTACTTACTTGGCTGAATACGCTCTCCAAAACACTGACAAGTTCAGGTTCTAATGGAACAGATGACCATCCAATACACATATCGATAAAAGGCCGAGCTGAATAGAATTTACACCCTTCGTCGCCAGTATTTCACTCCTCGCCAACATGAAACAGGGGTGTATAGTTTTTTTTGGCCCGTCAATATATCTTGCTTTCGTATCAAACAGATGGAGTCTATTGATAGAATGTACCCGTGAGGATTCGGGTTAGAATTGATCTTCAGTAACTTGTGCTAGTCGTGAGAGGCGCCTAACGGGATCTGGTGGTCAGGCTCGCTGACTTGGTTGACACTTGTCATCGTATGCCAATTGCGTAGGTCGATGGTCATGATGTTGATCACTGGATTGTCTGGTTCAGACTCGAGTATTTATAGACCACCGCCATAAAGCTGGAATATTGCTGAGAGCAATATAATGCTTGATTGAACCGCCCGGTTATTGTATAGTGACGCACTAGCACTGAAACACCTCAAAATTCGGGAAGCAATTTTAATTGTCTGCAGGTGCTTTGGAACAAAATAATTGGGCTGCGGACGGAGCTGAAATTTAAACATTGAAGTACACTGGTCTTATAGTACAGCCAATCTGATGATTATGAATGGATCGCAGAATTTGTTTTCGAAATAGATATATATGTATATCAAACACTTTGGCCGTTGTAAAGTTAAGGTGCGTTCCTTATTAACCTCGGTATATACACATATGATATGGTATCTGTTTCCAGACAAGCAGTACACACTGCTGATGTACGACCCCAGCCCGGAGCTGGGACAAACAGAACAGAAGTCCTACATCCATTGGATGATCGTCAACATCCAGGGTACTGACATCACTTCCGGTGACGAGGTGTATGACTGGTTACTTCCCCTGACATCAAGGCTGAATGAGCTCTACCTGTTTGTCTTGTTCGAGCAGACGACACCTGTCAACCCCACAACAGCCCGGTCCTTCGCAGCAACCGACTGTCGTCCAGTTTCAAGGTAGAAACTCTAGATGCTTCTAGTCACCGCCTGTGTAGGCAAGATGGACAAAAAGTCCACTCAGAGAGCGCAAAGTCTGTGATTCGAGCTCTGACCGCGTCATAACAAAAATGAGTGAGTGAGTATGATTTTACGCCGCTTTAGCAATATTCTAGCAATATCACTTCGGGGGACACCAGAAATGGGCTTCACACATTGTACCCATGTGGGTACCCTGGTCTCCGGCGTGACGAGCGAACGCTGTAACCACTAGGCTACCCTATTACAAAAGATAAGCATAACGTGAAAAAAATCAAAGATGTTATGATATTGTCTGGATGGGGTAGCTAAACTCACGGGCGAAAGAAACGTCACCTCGCTTTTTTAACATGTCACAAAACAACAAACTGAGATTTTGGAAATTTAACAATCATATTTGGGAAATGAATGGATTTACAACATTCTGAATGATGAAAGTGTGATCTATAGATACAGATATGAATAATCACTTAGTGTACGATAAAAGATATTAAAAAAATCATTTTGGTGACGTTTCTTTCGCCCGTTAGTTTATGTTAAGTTGCTACATGCAATCGCAGTGTGTTAGCTCAATAACACCGAAATAAGCCTGGGCCAGTACAACCAGTCACACGTCCATGCACGATGCGTACACTAATCTTGAACGATACCTGAACGCCCATTTGACTCCACACCTACGTTATAATGATAGAGGGGCGGTGGGGTAGCCGAGAGGATAACGCGTTCGCTCGTCACGCGGAAAAACCGGGTTCAAATCCCCACATGGGTACAATCTGTGAAGCCCATTTCCTGTTTCCCCGCCGGGATATTACTGGAATGTTGCTTAAAGCAGCGTAAAATTAACTCACTCACTATAATAATAGTTTGTTCCTGCAACTTCAATGGAGATACTAGTAACTGACGTACGAGAAAGACATTTTGTGGGAACCCCCCAAGGGAGTCACTTTGCAGGGATTAGTATGTCAGTCAAGTTGAAAACCAGCATCAAGATTTAATATTTTATCAATAGCTATGTTACTGAATAGAGATGCTTGGTAAACTGTCACAGATTTGAGTATGCGAAGCAATCTAGAGGTTAATAAAGTGTCGAGTAAAGGACAGAATACATCGATATTTCAGGGTAGCCATATGGAACAAATAGGGTATGTTTATGTGATTGTGATGTATTTGATAGAAGTAAGATAGTTTTGTTTTTGGACTTAAAATTTTCAGTATTTCGGCGACTATTTCAGAGACATTTTGACAATTATAATTTCTGGTCAAATCCTGTTTTCCTGTGTATGCTTTCTTTTGGCCGCTTGTTTAATTACCTTAATATGAGACCATTATTTAATGAGACAATTTGCCTGTTCTTGTAGACTTGAACTAAGGGACTGACTTACTAAAATTCTGTATTCCAGATAGTACTGGAAAACAATTGTGCCATAGGTTCTACCCCGAAAATGACTAATCACATGTCCTAAAAGTTGGTTCTGGGTCCTCCAAAAGCACTCATTTCAAGCGAACACATACTTACTATCACTTACACAGTACCTATTGTATAATAATGTAATGACTTTGTTGCATTTGCTGCAGATGCAAGTTCAGGGCTGGAGACTTCATCCGCGCCAACAATCTCTCCATTGTCGGTATGAGATACTTGAGGGTGATCCCCGACACCTACCAACAGTATATGTCGTACGCCGTGAAGATGATCTCGACTAAGAGTCAAGTCTGCTCGGCACAGGTCAACGACCGACCGCAATGTCCGGTCATGTCCGGAAGCAAGCAGACAAAACCAGTCGGCATCATCATGTCAGTGTTCACTGCGTTGGCAGCTTACTTGAGTTTGAAAAACTAGCTGGTGAACATGACGACAAACCGCACCTCTAACTCAGTGATGATTTATGGCACTGAATACAATAAATATAAATAATTCTACGCTGTAAAAATCACATTTCCACTCTCTTTTAAGCTCCCTTTGCGGAAATATCCATTATCCTTATTATCATTTGATTATCCTCTTCGCCTTCTAAGGGCGTAAATTGCTCCTGATTTTCAGATATTAAGCCTGTAATGTGTCCCAATAAAGTGAGTCATTGTACCGTTATGTTTTCTTCAGTACGTCCAGGCATAAGGTAAGATATATATATTTGTGGTGGTCGGTGGTCTTATGCGTAGAGCTCTTGTCACAAATCAGTTGAAGTTCAGCGGCGAGTCCTTGGATCGGTGACCGTGTGTGATAGCATGACTCCTGAGAGTTTCTAGGACTTCAGTCCTGCCCCACAACGAAGCACATGCGATACATGTGGTCTCACATTAGTCAAGTGAGTTTGTTCAAAATTGCCTCTGTGCACCCAGCAGAAAATGGGTACCCGGTGAAATAAGTCATGAGACTATTAACCTTCTAGCGCCTCACAGGCAGCTTAGGTTATTGGGGGTAATAATGATCAGATGTTGTGATTTGAGCAGGATGTAAGCTTGGAAAAGGCGCGTTATAAATATTCTCATTATTTTAATTATAAATTATGATTTTTTCTATTTACTTAAACTATCTTCGAGCGCTGTTCACCTTTATGTTTGTATCATTCTCCTCAAAAGTCTGTATCATTCTCCAAACAAACCACGAACTCCTACTGTGCGCCACGCATAATCCTTCACGTGCAAATCGTGCATGTCGACATGTTTTCATGATTATGTAGTGAAAGATGCACTATTCAATTTCAGTTAATTATACTTTTAATGACTTTACAGGATGCTCAGCCACTTTGTTCCGTAAGAAAGCAAGTTCAGGGTCATCGTAATTCTCCAAAATGGGCGAGTGCTAATCCCATGTAACAGTATCCACCATCATCTTGATTGATTCATAAGAAAGCAAAGCCCAATGTGAAATGGAGTCATGAAACCATATTCATTCACTGTCAAACTCTTGCTAGGATGCTCGCGCGGTATTTTGACGATATATATGTATTTACTAAATTGTTTGACGTGCACTAAACATACTTCAAAGCCCTTGCGTGTCGCAAGAGGCGACTAACTGGATCGGTGGTCAGGGTGGGTGCCTTTTTTAACACATCTCATATTATGCCAGCTGGTGCTCATGATGTCGATCACTGGATAGTCTCGTCCAGGCTGGATATACATACCACCGCCATGTTACTGGGATATTAGTATCACAGAGAACAACTTAAACCCAAAGAAATCCATAAAACCTTTACGTTGTGTCAATACTTCCTGTGGAAGGACTTCCAGTAATACATACATACCACTTTGGTTCAACCCACGAGCCCAGGGATGGTATTTGACAACCTAGAGACATAAACAGGTCGAACAATGAAGTCAAACCCACGTGAATATCTGCGAATTTCTAAGCCTCAGACACGCATCCATTATGATAGCCTTTTTAAACAGGGCCAAGATTTTCGAAGCTCTCTCAGAGCTAAGATAGTCGTAAGTTAATGTTAATGTATGGCACTTAGGACCATCTTAACACTAAGAGAGTTTCGAAAATCTAGGTCCTGAATAGCATTAGCTCTGTTCTTATATACGGCTTCTTAACCATGCGAAAAAAATGTTATCGGGATAAATAACTAGGATAAGTACATGTATACTATTAACTTGAAGGAAGTGACATTTAACTTCTCTTCAGGGTTCATACAGCTAAGGTCCCATGAGACTCAAGGGCTTTTCAGGCACTTTTCAAATCTGTGCGAACCATGAGAGATAATCTACAGGAGTATTATATTTTATATATGGTTTTTTTCACCTTGATTCTGGTTCGACAAACAGGTGAAGCTTGCTGTTGCAATGTGGCATACCATACATAAAACCCATTCAAACAAGATCACTGAAAAAACACCCAATTGAAATTAAATTTCACATTTGTTTGTGCTTGGAAAATTTGGAAATACCGCTGTTTTCCTGACGAGTGAGTGAGTATGGTTTTACGCCACTTTTAGCAATATTCCGGCAATATCACGACGGGGGACATCAGAAATGGGCTTCACACAACGAACTCAGGTCGTCGGCGTGCGGGCTGACGGAAGTGCATGCATACATGTGTGGAAACAACTAAAGGGACATAACTATCATCGAACTGAATCGCTAGCAGCACAGTGGAGCTTATTTTCGGGCTATCGACAGATCAGAGGAAAGGTAGATGTGGTGACATGCATAAACTTCATTAACTTGCCATCCATCTCCAGCGTCAATCTCAAGGCAGCAGGATACATTCGCATCAATCTTCAGCAAATGTCTCTCCCCTCTCACACACACCACACCCCACATTTGTGGTTACATACATCCTGTAAAGATATGACCTTGACGTATTCCAGTACAAATAAGTTTATATCTATCTATATGGGTATTTAAATAGAGCTGTAGTCCATCCCATCTACATGCTCAAAGCGCTTTGTTTTTTCTCTCAATCATTAGATGGCAATCTCAACGGCACATCGTATTTTTCAATCTCAGCTCCCTGGGGATCATACAACTCGTACAGCCACAAGGCGCACCAAGTTATTGTGGCATTCCCATCCTTACGAGGTGCCCATTCACAGCTGGGTGGACTAGGACACATAGTCACAGTACTTTGTCCAAGTTCACTGCACGTTGCTGTACCCGCAACTAGGTGTTTGCACGTATTCATGTGGTCACCATCTGGTCATTTACCAACGGATGCGTGGGTTCTTTTAAGTGCACAGGGATGTGTACTGTACACTAGGGGTTGTGACAACACTGAAAGGGTCTGCGCACAAAGTTGACTCCAAGGTACACTCGGTCACAGATGGGCTCGATCCCGGCACCTTAAGCTGGCTGGATCACTCGACTGGCGCCTTAGACAGCTCGCCGAACACGCCCTTTAAGATATTAAAGTACAAATATGCTATTTCCCGGAAATCTGAGTACCGCTGCAACCATCAGCACAAAAGACACTAAGCAACAATTATTCATTTTATTTCTAATAAATACATCATTTTGGCGTTGTGAAGTCTGCCACTGACATAACGGTTCCTCCAGGAACGTGAAGTCTGCCGCTGACATAATGGTTCCTCGATGTAATGGCGACACTGTCAGGTACTGCATTTGCTATCTCATCATTCGGCAGCAAGTCTAGCAAATTATGTTCCCAGGGTTTTCTGGAAACAGAATTAATATCAACCAATGAAATTCAATGCTATATATTGTTGGGTATTGCTGTCAACTTTACTGTTTCCATGGCTACTTAATTATACCGCAAAGTGAGTGTCCCTGGAATTTGACGTTTCCTTTAAAGTAAAGGAAATTGATAAAGTTATGAATATTTCTGATAAGTACCTTGGACACATCATGATTTCAACTTTCTCTCCAAACTGAGGTCAGTGACCTGAGTATCAGGGATGACCTTGGCATAGTACATAATTTTAGTTCATGGGTTTATGGGAGAAGCCTATTTACCAGTTGTACCTTCAGAATTTAATGGCTCAATACAAAGCAATGGTAGCAAATCGGTTTTTTAGACAGAACCGAAGTAAAATACACTGTATTACTATTATGGAGGATGATAGATGACAATTGTAAACATGATTCTATTCAGGGTGTTTGCTACAGACAAATGTCATCTGGGCCCTGTTTCACAAAGCTAACATAGCCAATGTTACAGTTAGGAGTTACGGCAGTACAGTCGTAGGGCTATGATAGCTTTGTGAAATTGAGCCCAGGCTAGCAATTCTCGAAACGTAGCCTTACGAACTTCTTAAGCCCATTCTTAACACATTGGCTACGATCAAAGTTAAGAATTCTTTTGGCTACGAACGTTTCGAGAATAAGGGCCCAGTACATGAGTATTATTTAATTATTACTTTATAATTAATTATTCCATTTATATTGCGCTAAATCCACACCGACAGCATGCTCATATCACAGACAGTTCGTTATTACCAGGTAACCCAAACTGCCTGTGAGGCGCTAAAAGGTTATAGTCACATGACTTATCCCACCTGGTACCCATTTTCTGCTGGGTGAACAGAGGAAAACTTTGAACAAACTCACTTGTCTAAGGTGCTACCACATGTACTTTTGCAAATGTTTAAAAGAAAAGAAAATAAGATGACAATTAATCATAGGCCAGCCATAACTTCAATGGAACCAAACACATTCAATGGCACTGCAGAAACGCTAAGTGTGCATACACACAATGTGGCATGTGTTAATTAGTCTCTGACTCTAACAGTCCCTGAACCACATTATTTTCCCTGCTGCCTAGCCCTTCCTGCAATGGGAAAGCCCTGGGTGAATCAAGTCTAGATTTCATCAGGTTCCCATCTGACTAGGGCTCGTTTTCAGTTTAAATGGGTTTATTTGCTACTATCAAGAAGATATATGTTCAGAGAATAAGCGTTAGTCAAGGGGTTGATCAATAAGCACACTTTGTGTCGATTGTGATGTGTTTGGAATCATATGGATTTTATATACACAGATTCCAAGACGTTTTGAATACTTACTGGCGAGAGTCTTTTCCATGGATTTAGTCAACTTGGGGATCTTCTTCTTGGCAATCATCCGGTAGTACCTCCAACCCATGCGCACGTGGAGACCAATGTATCGACCCATAGTTCCGTAGTTCCTTCCACTTAGTAGACGTTTCTGAAACAGGAGTTGACTTGGATGAAAAATAAAAACATAATTCATTGGTCAGGTTGTTCTAACCAAATTGAGGGCGGTACAGTGACCCCCCTCCTGATATTGCTGTAATGTTGTTAAAACAAATGTAAAACACTCACTTTACCCAAACTGATTAGTCAAAAGTTAACCGTGGTTTGTATGCAGCTAACCGGGCATTCAGCAATATACCAGAGAAATGAACCAGTCTGGAACTAGTGTTGGGAATCGAAAACTAAATCCACTATCGATTATCCGAGGAATGTAGTGAACGATTATGGATTATAGTCGAAATATATACATTTTTAATGTTTACAATTTTAAGCGTTTTCCCCCAGTTTATTTTCTTATTAATGTTTTTTATAGCTTATACTGCCATGCAATGAAATACACACATGCAAGAAAGACACTTGAATTGTAATTAAACAACAGAAGTGGTTAAAATTTTACGTGCTTACTGTCATCTTTTCATTACTTGATTATTTTATTCAAAATCATTATATACTGAAAGGCAAAAGAAACGTCGTAATATTGGAAATGACATTTAAGTTTCAATGGAATATTTGAACCGATTTTATTAAAATATTACGCCACTGAAATGCCGTACCGACTTTCATCAGAGAAGATAGCCCCTCTCCATTGTCCCCCTCGACAGTTTTGCCGCTGTTGTGTCCACTTGGTGACGTTGGGTGAATATGGGTCTCCTGGAAGGACGTCGACAAAACAGGTTCCTGAATTGGAGACGTCGCCGAATGGTTCGGTCACTGACTGGTCGCTGGTGGTTTCCTATGGTCACCCAAGCTGTTTCTCTTCCCCTTGCGAATTGGTCTTGCATGTGTTGATGGACGATATGACGGTCCTGGCGACGTGTTGTTACACGGTGTTGACCACTACGTGGACGGTCATCAGTGCTGCTGGTGGCGTTGTATCGCTCTCTAAGACATTCTATCGTTCGTGCGCTGCAATTGAAGTCATTAGCAATGACTCGAGCATGTTGACCAGCGTGTAGACGTCCAATGGCTTGTTGTCGTTGATCTCTCGTTAACCTAGTCATAGCTGCGGTGTTCAGAAAACAAGTGAACGATTGCCATTCAAGCCGGCAATTTATGCCTGAATGCATTTATGATGCACGCGCATCTCGATGTCAATGTTGTGCTTGTGGGAACTCTTCCCTCTCCAAAAAACAAAAACATTTCTAACCTCAATCTCCAACAATACTTCATTGGGCAATGCAGGCTATACGACCACGAATCATGTTTCCTCAAACTTGACTTCCGGTGTATATTTAAAAGAAATATATACTCAAATGTCATTTCCAATATTACGACGTTTCTTTTGCCTTTCAGTATATATATAAATTTATATACCAACCAAGTGTCAACCAAGTCAGCGACCCTGATCACCCGATCCTGTCAGTAGTTTCTTGGGACAAGCATGGGTTACTGAAGACCAATTCACAGGTCTTCCCATTTGGAGCAAGACCATACTTACCCTGCGCCTTAGATAAATAGTAGCAAATTTCCGGTAGAAATTGCAGTTGCGCACCATATGCAGTCTGTTTGTATATCGAAGAACCTTCAGTTGGTCGGGGCTGTGTTAAGAAGAAACAAATATTCAGGGATACTTGAAAATGGGGAATATTAGAGTGGCTGTAATACAGAAAATGTGACAGTAAATCTTAAATACACTTTAATAACCTGCTAACAGATGGGCGGTGGGGTAGCCTAGTGGTTAAAGGGTTTGCCCGTTGCACAGAAGATCCTGTTCAATTCCCCACATGGGTACGATGTGTGAAGCCCATTTCTGGTGTCCCCCCCACTCATGATATTGCTGGAATATTGCTAAAAGCGATGTAAAACTAATTCACTCACTCACTACCAGTTAAGGACTTTGCTGTTCCATATCTGTATGGGTTTGCTAGGATGATACCATGATTCTTAGTTCTTCAGCACCATATCGAATCAAGGCTTCTTGGTAAATATCACACATGGGCGTAAGTTTGGACTTTTGTTTAACATTTAGCTGATATGCCCTTCACATCCAGTATCAGCACCTCCAGAACACCAGAAATGGGCTTCACACAGTACCCATGTGAGGAATCGAACCCGGGTCTCTGTCTGACAAGTGAACAGTTTGACCTCATTAAATCGTGGTACATTGTTACCCTGTCAGCCCTCTGTATAATGGGGTTGAACACTCTACTGTCAGAATGGGCCATTCATGTTAAAACAGGGCTGAGGGGTGGACTTGTGGTTAAGGCATTGTCTTGTGACATGGGTACAATGTGCGAAGCATATTTTGGGTGTCCTTCCACGTGATATTGTTAAAGGAGGGGTAAAGCCTCACTCACTCTTGTTAAAACAGTGAACTATACAATACTGTGTCTACTGACACTACTGCTGACGAGCAAACTCACACCATGGAGTCGCTGTGGACTATATAAACATGTAGAGATAACAGGTTATTCAGGAACTAGACACAAATGCATGGTATTGTCAACCAACCAACCAATAATTGTTCATCAAGAATCAGTTTGTTTTGTTTGCTTGTATATTGTTCGAAGCCGCACTCAGCAATATTCCAGTTATATGGCAGCACTCAGCAATATTCCAGCTATATGGCAGCACTCAGCAATATTCCAGCTATATGGCAGCACTCAGCAATATTCCAGCTATATGGCAGCACTCAGCAATATTCCAGCTATATGGCAGCACTCAGCAATATTCCAGCTATATGGCAGCACTCAGCAATATTCCAGCTATATGGCAGCAGTCAGTAGATAATCAAGTCTGGAACAGACAGTCAGGTTATCAACAGCATGAACATCGTTCTACTCAGTTGGGATACAAAAGTAACAATGACAAGTGTCACCCAAGTCAGGGAGGCTGACCACCCGATACCCTTAGGCCAAAATAAAACAAGAAAAAATTGTGTCCAGGGACACGGATGCCCCCGCTGCTTTAGGAAGAGTTCACACATTCAGGGTCCCACTGAAGTACTTGAAAACACTAAAAACAATGTGTTGAGGGGTTAGATAACACAACCTATTATCATATAAAGATCAATAATTGAACAAAATTCACGAACAAGTTCAATAAACATCTATGCAACTATGAGATGCACACCTTTCGCGTCCCAATGAAACACACGCATAAGCTTAATCAATTTTGTTGAGCAGTTTTTGTGGAGAAGTGGATAGACCTAATCCCCTATTTCACTATCATCAGAGAGAAGTTCAACAAAATTTATCTAAGATTTATCTAAACATACAAAAAAATATAAAATACAAAAACAAAATATGAGATGCACACCTTTAGAGTCTCTATAAAAGACATATGTAAACTAAATGAGTTTTGTGCAGCGGTTTTTGAGGAGAAGTGGATAAAGTACACCCCTGTTATATGGGACGAACAGGATGAATAGAACCAAATTCAACTAAGTTCAAACATCTGTAGAAGTGACAAAATTAAGAAATTGCATAAAGATTATGAAATGCACACCTTTAGAGTCCCTACAAAAGACATGTAGAAGTCCATTCAATTCTGTTGAGCATTTTTTGTGGAGAAGTGGATAGACTTCATCCCCTATTACACTATCATCATAGAGAAATACAGCAAAATGTACCTAAGTTCAAATGTCTCTAAACTTACAAAAAAAAACAATAAAATAAAAAAACAAAATATGAGATGCACACCATTAGAGTCCCAAGAAAGCCCATGTATAAGTTTATTGAATTCCACAGAGCGTTTTTTGTGGAGAAGTGGATAGAATACATTCCCTGTTTCGGACGGACGGACAAACGGACACCGAGGGTAACCCTATATGCCCCAGCCATATATGGCGGGGGCACAAAAATGTCCGTTTCCGGTAACCCGACCGACCCTATCCTAACCCACCCGACCTGAATCTTTTTTTAACCAAGTCAATATCATGACTGGAGTGGATTTCACACATCATTTTCATCCAAATCGATTATGATATTTTCATGTTTTTCAGTGTATGTAGGGCTAAAATGGATTCCATTGAATTGGCATAATGGGTCCTGACTGACCAAATCTACAAATAAATAACATGAATAGTGATTTGATATAGAAATCTTTCAATGTTTCATCACAAGGCATTGTCACTGCATGATATGGTACTCTTGAAGACCTCAGGTGCCCACCTGGTGCTACTAAACAATATTTTGAAAAAGTTATAAAAAAGATAAAACCGACCCACCTACCCTATTTTTAAAAAACTTGTAGATCTACTAGGAAACGGACATGTATTTTTTTTTTTGCCTAATAGTCGGCTCTAACGACAAGCATGGGTTGCTGAAGACCAATTCTAACAGGATCTTTACGGGTCTTGCCATGAATAGACCGATCCAGTCTGTCAATCAAAACTGGCGCATGCGCCAAATTTGGCTAATCAGCAGGCCGGGCGCGCTGTGTGGATTTGTCGAACTTATTTCCGGGGCCAAACGATGCCTCCGAAGCGATGTGCTTCGAATTATGCCATTTACACTCGCTATATTTATTACATATTGCTGCTATTTGATGTGTACCTTTAACAAACCATTACGGTCAAGACAACAAAAATGGAGGCGGATCAAGAAAGGCGATAGGCCTAACGATCAGCTAAATGTCTGCACCATCGTTCAGGAAACTACGTCTGCCTGCTGATGAGAATTTGCACGAATTTCCACACTTTTGCACATGTGCACAATCATTACCAATTGATGACAACAAATAGCAATTTAAGATTTTGCAAGTGTTATAAACACGGACAATTCTCGTAACTACAAAATTGGTTTTGCTTAACGTGTTTAGTCACTACTAGGCATTGAGTTGGTACGCCATAAAGCTCAAATGAGACAGGCGAGAAAGCCGTGACACAATGTAAACAAATCTCCATTTCGGTTACGGTCAACCGAAATAGCAAAACTTGTTACATGAAAGAACAATGTGGCGGATATTGTCCCCTTCGCTCTTAGATATTCTTCAATTTGTCACACATTTTAGGATGTTTTAAGTTTCATAAGCACAATCTGAAGGCCTACAGTATCTTGTTAACAGAGCAAAATATTCGAGGAGTAATATTTTTTATTCAAACGGAAATATTGTCAGTGTCAGCAGTTGCCTATCATGCAATATCCAAGTATCAAACTTAATTCATATGAGTGCCTATATATAAAACCATGCTTTAAATATTTCAGCTTTTTTATAAAGAGTTGCATGGGACTTTGAACTGAATTACCTTCCTCCATGTTGATCGAATACGAAAACTATGTGAGAAGAATAGTGATCGACTTTCTGGAGTATTGGACGGAGTGAAATAAAGTGTATATCTTAATTATGAGAACATTATTTGAAGTTTTGTTACCACATAAATTATTCACATATATTGGTACATTTTAGGAGTAATATTACAACTGTAATTTTGATTAATTCACTGGAAATGATAGCAAGGTATGTTTTAAGAATCTTGTTTTTTTTAGTAAACGTGGAAGGGTAATCAAATTAATAATAATCTAATCAATAATAAATAATTATTTAATTGATTGACATATCAGATTCTTATGATTTTAAGGCAGAACTAGGCAAACAAACACCATACATATCATGGCAGGACAATCACTTGGTATTAACTTAGTTTCCTGGCTCCTGCTTTTAGATGTTTTTTTAAATACTACATTTACTAATAAGATAATTCTGAAAGTGATTGCTAGTATCATAACTCATTAAAGTTATTTCAACATCCAGAGAATTTGAAAAAGCAAAGGCTACGTTTTGGTCGAAACCCTGGTCTTTGCATTATCCAGTCCTGGAACAGAATAACTTACAAAAATCTCAGTTGACCTTTCATGTAACGGAATAAATATTGAAACATATATTTAACCCATATTTGATGGAATTCTTCTGATAAATCATCAGTTTTTTAGGAGGTTATCAATGTTTGAAGACTGAACCAAAGCTAGTGTTTATTAAGATGATGGATTTTGACAAATTGTTCAAGGTTTGTTGATTGTTATTTGGAAAATCAGCTTCATATTAAATTGCACACTGGTTTGTAGGAGGTGAATGCTTCAGGACATTTTCATGTCTGTTTTCCTAACCTTTGTTATGACTTTTAACAAATTTTGAATCAACTTTACTATAATTTTTATGCCACCAGTAAGTATCTCCGAAAAGGAAATAGATCAAAATCAGTGTTATGTCCTCTAGGGATATGGTCTCAGATCTAATAAAAGAAAGATTATCATTGTTTAATTAAGAAGCAATAATGTCAATATGTAATTGTAGTGACAAAAAGCTTTGAACATAGGATATATTCTTTGCACCTTATTTACACTAGTAGTTAGCAGTTAAACATCTCTGATGAAAAAACAACAGATCTACATTTGTATTTTGTGTAACATTCTATTTCAATGCTAGTTAATTGTTTGGATAACTGTGGATCCAAGATTTTGCATCACATGTTTCCTATTTCTGGAAGATGGCTCAGCTAGTGTACAGGTGCAGACTGTATCTTGGATCTTTTTTGTGTTCTGGTACTGTGACATACCTGTACATAAACGCTAGCCTGGCAGTTCATGAAGTCAAGTATTGCGGAAGTTTGTATGTAAATTAGGATTCAACAACAAAGTACATATAGAAAAGTAAAATGGAAATGATTAAAAAAATGATTTCCTTATATTCAGTGTCAGTTTATCATGGTGTAAGATTTTGAAGAGAGAAACTTTACTGAGAATTGCTGCAGATCAGCTGTTGAATATTTGCTTCTGGGTATGTCCAGATCTATAGATACATCCATGGAAACATACTGTTTACAAGCCCAATTACTTTTCCAGATTTCCAAATGTGATTGATTTGTTTACATAAATTATATACAGACAAATAAAGTGCATGAAGTAGTACACGGGAAATATTTTCTGCTTTTTATTTACCATTCTCTTAATTCATTAAAAGATAGAAACCCATGTTTTCAGATTATTGAACTAAATTTGAACAACGCCAACGGATAAGTAAAGGCGCCACGCGCAGTGTTGATAATCTATTTATAGATACCAAAACGATCTGCAACATGAACATGTGGTTGTGTTCACGAGTTTTATAAAATTATAAACTCAAACAACAAAATTTCAGTTACCCTTCACCTGCTAATATCTGTGACGGAGGGGAATTGCCAGATAGATTAATTGATTCGAAAGAAATTACGCTTCCTACAGTCTCAGCAGCTAGTCGAGACGATTTTTCATCGGGCATGTAACTCATTTTCACTCGCCAGTTGCAATCTGCCAGCTATAATATAATAAAAATCACATACGTATAACTTGCCTCTTTAAATAACATTCACAAACGACGGATACCAAAGTATCACAAGCAGAATTCATCAACGTTCGCAATCACGTAACGTTTCGCCGGCGGTGACGCCATTGTGATTTGTCAGTGGTTGTCCCCCCTAACGTCAAAAACGAAGTGGGCGGGGCTTATTTGCCGGGACTGGATCGGTCTATTAAGTTTTCCAGCCTCATTTTTCAAGATTTTGAAAGTATGTTACTGAAATAACTCACGTCAGTTTAAACTTCCCAGCTGTCCGTTTCAGGAACCTATCCAGCTGCCTGTCGAAGTAGTAGATAATCCATGTCTTCATTAGGTATTGGCCTGTAAATGGATGCACAGGTAGTTAGCGGCTGTTGTTTATTACTGGCCCAGCGACATTAAGTCTCCTCTCTTTAATAATAAATGACTATTTACTGTGGACTGCTTGAGATTCCTGTCAAGACTAGAGATAAGCATAACCAGAGACTGAAAACATGTTGGAAGCAAACGGGCAAAAACTCCCAACCGTGTTAAAATACTTAAGAAAACCCACGATAAAAAAAACCAAACTATCACTTCACAAATAAATGTCAAAGGGGGATAATCCACTGATTTTACTCATGTATCATTACAAACATAGTCTCATTAGAAAGGACACACGGGACATATCAAGCAACTATACTGACGTAAAAAATTAAAATAAATACATAATACATAACTGGTGTTTTGGGATTAATTTGCCCAAACCCAAAGTATATATTTTGAAAAGAGTTTTGGTTGTGATTTGTGATCATGCCAAAACATCAAATCTATCCACCCATAGAAAAATATCCCACAGCACTATAAAATGTGTAGGTTTGTCTACATTCTCCTTCACTTATCTATGGTTCATTCCTGTCATTGTTATGGTATCCCCAATTGCAAAGAATGGATGCTCCTGATGTCAGTCATTGGTTTTCTGATCCACTTACTGATTACTTACAGACCAGCATCAAAATTGTGGTGTTAAACAACAAATATTTAAACACTAACTTTTCTTGGCGACATTGAATCTTCTTTTGCCATGTGTCACACTTAGTGCCGTCATCAAAATGAAGAAAAGCGCCAAAGTCTTCATTCTAGAATTATAAGGAACGTAAGTTATTATAAGCAGTGCCTGATACATAATGGAAAGTGCTGTGCAGTGTAACATTTTTTTTCCAAACTTCACCTTGCGCAACGTGCCAAGATAACACTGACGGGGGACTTCCAAAAAACAAAATGACTGGACACGATCAGCTATGTGAGGGAGGTCTGGACTAGGACACTAGGTACCAGTTTGGTTCAACGAAAATATGATAGTACAATGGAATAAGTGAGTTTAGTTTTACGCTGCATCCAGCAATATTACAGCTATATGGCGGCGGTCTGTAAATAATCGAATTTGGACCAGAGAAGCCAGTGATCGATCTACGCAAATGGGATACAATGACACGTGTCAACCAAGTCAGCGAGCTGACCACCCGATCCCGATAGTCGCCTCTTACGAGAAACATGGGTTACTGAAGAACCCGGACCTTCACTGCTTAACTCAATCAATAGTGGCGCAGTAGCATTGGGGTTTCTTCTGGGAAAGCTTTGGGGACATTTTCTTTTACCCAAAAATTGCTAAACGACCTTTGAGTAAATTTGCGGTACTTTTCGCAAAATTTGAGTGTCAATGGTCATTTAATAAACTGTCAGGACTAAAGAGACACGCCTGTATTTTTCGCCATATTAATCCACTTCACTAAGTGGGACTTACCCACCACTTAACGATTTGAAACAAATATACATGTATATATTACTTTCGGTTTCCAAAATTATTGAAAAAAGGGTGTTCGTTGACAGGGTCCCATCGGACGTCACTGTGAGGATTAAGCTGGTTCCCGGCTCCCTTTGCGCGCGCTAACTGCGATATGCGTGACGGGGCCCAGCTAACTGTGAGGATAAGCCCTACGCGCGACGTTGATGTCCAATATTCGATGTTTATGACTTGACGTCCATTAAATCATACTAACGTTGAATATTCTTTTAAAAAGCCACAACATGTTTCTCCTTATTTTCAGCTTCACGGCATTATATAAATCGTACTGTTGCTGCTTTTCGAGGGGTATTTGAAGCATGAAATCGGGATTTGCATGAAACAAACATAGCGGATGGGTATAGAATACTTTGTAGGTGTACTAATATGTCCCTCAATACGAATCACGACAATCAAAGCAAAATTCAAAGCTCAAGTGGGTATCTACCTTTTCCCGTGTTTCTCGAAAGCCTGCTTGCCAAAAGAAGATGCCGACAGACGCCGTCTCTGCTTTCCAGACTTCGCAGCGTCTAGTATGACGTAGCTGCTATTTTCGACCAATCAGCGTAGACCTCCAACAACGTAGCGGGAGTTCGCTCGCGCGAGTTCAAAGCTTTGCGTTGTCAGGAAAATAAACAAGCTCCGTGCAGCGTAGATCAAGTCACTTCAGCTGCAAACGATGCTGTTCTGAGCCAGAACCTGCTCTGCAGCATGGGTGGACTATTCAGGAGAATGTTTGATAGCTCCCCATTAAAATAAAATTGATTTGGTCATATTTTCACAGCGCGTATATATCCTGTGATTTTACTCGTGCCGAGTTAATTAACCAGAGTTATCGCCCCTTCGCATAGGACGATCACGTCGAGAGAAAATGATTTCCTCTCAACACAACTAGTTATTTCGCATACATATTTTGTTGGTTTGTTTTTGGTTTTTTGTTGTTTTTTTTTGTTTTAGTTTTTGTTTTTTTGCCTTAGTTAGTTTGAGCCAATACCACTCTTCTGATTTTTTTCTTGGAAGAAGCGAATTTGAGTATGTTCATTTCACATTTTCATCAAGAGTACACCTGAATGAGAAATATCATCTGAATTATAGCAAATATATATCAAGCAAATATGATGAACATAATTGTCATGGCAATATTCAGTAATTAATGAACAGTATGGGTGAGTGAGTTTGGTTTTACACCGCTTTTAGCAATATTCCAGCAATATCACGGCAGGGGACACCAGAAATGGGCTTCACACATCGTTCACATATTGGGAATGGAACCCTGCTTTTTCTTCGTGACGAGCGAAAGCTTTAACCACTAGGCTACCCCTAAATACGTAATAGCAGGTCTTCAGTAACGATATGCACGATTACAGCATTATACACAGAGATGTAAGTATATTCTGAAAAGCATGGCATTAATGCCCTTCCACACAGTTTCCCATTGCCAAGTTTTCAACTTTATATTTTAGCACAAACGGTGTGCCCTGAAGCCATGATATATTCTCATGCTTTTGCACAAAAAGAAAGAGAAAAGTGTCCAAACCGGCAGTACAATGACAACAGTGTAAACACATGGCAAGGAAAGTATACCGAGAATGTTTTTCACGTATAAAAAAACTGAAGATTGAAACAACTGTCTTTAATCACCACTCATGACGCCAAACGTAATGTGACAATAATGTGGGTGGGTAAGCTGGCATAAAATTAAATTGGTTCAATGAAGACCCTGTTTAATGTATTGTAAAGGTTTGACGAGACAAAGCACATTTATTGAGATGTCTAAGAAACCCATTAATTTGAATTATGCGATATATGTTGCATTTTCAAATGTTTTCAATCATAAACTATACAAATATAATCATTGAACTTAATGCAGCTGCACAATATCTCTGGGTGATAAACGCAAGGAAACGTTTAGGTAATATCAACAGAATATTAGCTAGTTGAATACAAGAATAATAGAACAAATTGTTTTACAAATGAATAGAAACAGATAACTACCAAACTTTATCCATAACAATTGGCGCACATCTCCATCCGGGTTAGAGCTGATCTTCAGTAACCCATGCTTGTCGTAAGAGGCGACTAACGGGATCGGGTGGTCAGGCTCGCTGACTTGGTTGACACTTGTCATCGTTTCCCAATTGCGTAGATCGATGCTCATGCTGTTGATCACTGGAATGTCTGGTCCAGACTCGATTATTTACAGACCGCCGCGATATACCTGTAATATTGCTGAGTGCGGCGTAAAACTAAGCTCACTCACTCACTCACTCACTATCTTTGTTGAACAAAGCCGTATGCCTTCATCGTATAATAACCAGTTATATTGTCATTTTGAATACATCGCCCTTTACCTATACATTTAACCTTATGCATAAGCTTTGAAAAGGATACTTTTAAAAATATAATTAAAAATCAAATCAAATTAAACTGAGAGGTATAGTTTCTGTTGCTCCTGTGTTCATGTACCTGCTTTTTTTAATTATATAAAATTTAAAAATATTTTAAACTGACGCATCAAAGAGACAATAAGGGGAAAAAGAAACACCTTGCTATATTATGTCAGTACTTGGCTACTAGTTTTGACACTCATTAATTTCGATTCTTCAAGTCAAATTTAAGTTTACCCGATTCGTGTACTCTTCAAGAGAATAAAGACGGCGAATCCACATTTTCTGAGCACGGTTTTTATCAAAACGGGCTATATATGGGTCATGTTAACCCCATATTTAGTCTATGTACATAAGTGTTGTACAAACAGACACCCAAGGCACGAGCATGAAGGGAGCACCTATCCTGCTGTCGCTCTTACTGACGGCCGCCTCGTGTGAGTATGGTTAACGTTCTCGGCGCCTGTACTTTGCCGTAACGTTGAAAATATTAAAAACGTAGCTTCATCTATCTCCATGGTGAATCTGGGAACATATTGGTCCCCAGTTCCTGCTTGTAGCTCGAGTCGACAAACAAGGATCAGGGTGCTTTTGAACAAGTCATCGTGACATATAACACAGAATTATAACAGTTCAAACACTACTTAAGGTGAATGTAACAGTCATACTTTAATCTAGTGAGTGAGCTTGGTTTTACACCGCTTTTAGCAATATTCCAGCAATATCACGGCGGGGGACACCAGAAATGGTCTTCACACACTGTGCCCATGTGGGGAATCGAACCCGGGCCTTCGGCGTGAACAGCGAACACTTTAACCACTAGGCTAACCAACTGCCCCTTATTTTAACATAGACCTAGCTCTGAGGTGACCGTAACTCTCATATGAAACATAGACTTGTGACAGTCGTAGAGCTGATGTGATCGTAACTCAAATATTTTACATAGATCTACGACAGTTGTGGAGCTAAGGTGTTCGTAACTCCGCTATGTAACATAGACTAATGTCAGTCGTGGGAATCTAGCTTTGTAGAAATCTTTAGTAGCTCCACGAAAGGTCGTAAATTCTATACTAAAATTTAGGCTTACGACAGTCGTAGCGCCACCGTCGTTTAGTGAAAGGGAACCCTGATAATAGCAAGTATGATCTGACTTAAGATATATCATGACCTGAGCCAGAGTCAGAATATTTATTTAAACACTTGTCAGACAACATGAAACGAGGACACGACCCTGTCGCTATAGAGCTGAAACCCCGCAAGGTGTCATGTGTGTTAGCTGACTTATTATACATCTCAAAAGAAGTTAAGGAGCACCCCATTGTTGACTGTAGTTAATCTATCATGGCTGATGGATGTTGCAACACACAGAAATATCATTGCGGGTGTTACGTAATCTGTCTGAATGGTAGAAATCATCGAACTGGCGCAGCCTGTTTTCTTGTACATACACTCAAATATTGTGAACAAACTCACTTGCCTAAGGTGTGACCACATAGGTGCTTCGTTGTGGGGCAGTGAAGAGATCCTCGAAACTCTCAGGAGTCCAGCTGCCAAACACGGTCACCCACCCAAGGACTCCTTGTGACCAACGTTGCTTGACTTCACCTGATTTGTGACCTGGGCCTAGATTTTCGAAGCTCTCTTAACGCAAAGATAGTCGTAAGTGCCATATGTTAACATTAACTTACGACTATCTTAGCGCTAAGAGAGCTTCGAAAATCTAGGCCCTGGGCCCCGTTCCTCAAAGCGATTGTAGCGCTACGACAGTCGTAAGTCTATGTTAAAGTATGGTAGTTACGATCATCGTAGCGCTACGATCGTTTTGAGGAACGGGACCCTGCTCTCTATGCACAAGACCACATACAAGCTCGCATATTTCATCCATATGTCGTTTGATTGATGTAACATCCTTATATATAAGTGGATGTATGATTTCTCCGTGCCGCTTTTCACTTAGACCCCCGACTGTGTAACCCTGTAACCACCAACCCTCACACCCACACGCACGCACACATACACAGACACACACGCACTCACCACATATACAGGCAGATTCACTCAGACGCGACCAAACATGTTTATACCCGTGAAGATCAGGGGTTACAATTGGTCTTCGGCAACCCATGCTTGTAGTAAGAGGCGACTAACGGGATCGGGTTCGCTGACTTGGTTGACGCATGTCATTGTATCCTAATTGCATAGATCGATGCTCATGTTGCTGATCACTGGATTGTCTGGCCCAGAATGGATTATTTACAGACTGTCGCCATGTAGCTGGAATATTGCTGAGCGCGACGTAAGACTAAACTCACTCACACTCACTAACTCCCATTATGTTTACTCTTGACCCACAAGTGTCACCTTGACTCACATCTGTGTCACCATGCCAACACTCCCATCTTGGAGAGCGTCTCAATCTTTATCAGTAACAATGATATAAATCGTACCCAGGTATTAACGCCAACGACGTGTGCAGCGACCGTTATGACGCTGCCTGCCTGGCGGCCATGACGTCTCTCTACGTCAACACCTCGGCCTACTGGTTCGGGACGACGTACACATGTCCCTATGGAATGAACGGCACGTTGCTATGCCAAAACAAGAAGCCCTCCCGCACGTCCCTCCTAACTCGACTGTTGGGGGACGCCGCCACCGACACCAGCGGCGTAGACTTCGTCGTCAACGTCACGTACACACTTACAGTGCCAGGTATGTACATTTGACGACTACTACTACTACTACTACTACTACTACTACTACTACTACTACTACTACTACTACTACGACTACGACGACCACGACGACGATAATGATGATGACTACCACGATGACAATGATGGTCATGATCATGGTGATAATAACGAGGACGACGATGATATTTGTATCGATGATGGTGATGCTGATGCCGATACCGATGATGATGAATCTCCTGTACCCGTACCTTGTTAACCGTTGTTTACATGTATCACTTAATACGCTTTTCCTTCTCTTTCAGGAGACGGATCTGACCGTGAGTGTTGCCCAGTATTTTTTTGTTTGTTGATCTGGTCAAACGGTCTGTATGGTTGAAGTTAAGAGGAATTAAGAGGCGGTATTTTTCACAGATTACCATCCATAGGCAACTTCAAAGAAATACCTGTCAAACACTTAACAACAGGCACTAGCAAATACACGTAAACAAAGTTTTACCATTGATCGATTTTATCTCAAGTACAATTTCACACACCTAGCGGTAACAGAGTTACGTCCCTTCTACGTTCAAGAGCCAGCGCTCAATACCCGAATCCCCCGAGTCGCTCATATAATATTCATCAATATCCATGGTTTTCACTCATTGAACGGTTACAAACAGTTTGTATCATTTCAAAATTTCAAACGGAGATAAAGACCAACTCAGTCAAAGGGAAGTTATGTATGCGAGCCCTGGACTCATTCCTAGGTTAGTTTTGTAAGTAATAATGCTACACAACATAGGTGTTCAGTAGTTCAGTATTGCTATCTGTGATTAACAATGTCACACAACATAGGTGTTCAGTAGTTCAGTATTGCTACCTGTGATTAACAATGTCACACAACATAGGTGTTCAGTAGTTCAGTATTGCTACCTGTGATTAACAATGTCACACAACATAGGTGTTCAGTAGTTCAGTATTGCTATCTGTGATTAACAATGTCACACAACATAGGTGTTCAGTAGTTCAGTATTGCTACCTGTGATTAACAATGTCACACAACATAGGTGTTCAGTAGTTCAGTATTGCTACCTGTGATTAACAATGTCACACAACATAGGTGTTCAGTAGTTCAGTATTGCTACCTGCGATTAACAATGTCACACAGCATAGGTGTTCAGTAGTTCAGTATTGCTACCTGTGATTAACAATGTCACACAACAAAGGTGTTCAGTAGTTCAGTATTGCTACCTGTGATTAACAATGTCACACAACATAGGTGTTCAGTAGTTCAGTATTGCTACCTGTGATAACAATGTCACACAACATAGGTGTTCAGTAGTTCAGTATTGCTACCTGTGATTAACAATGTCACACAGCATAGGTGTTCAGTATTTCAGTATTGCTATCTGTGATTAACAATGTTATACAACAAAGGTGTTCAATAGTTCAGTATTGCTATCTGTGATTAACAATGTTATATAGTATATGTGTTCAGTAATCTAGTATTGCTACCTGTAATTAACAATGCTATACAACACAGGTGTATATCCAGGATGCAGCAGGATGGTGGCGGCGCCTTTGACGACCCAAAAAACATTCTCTATCGACCCTCTCAGCAGCATCGTCTACGCCCCATTCGACCTCCGCGAGAAACCGGAAGTGACGTGGCCAGGGGAGGCAAACGCCCTCTACACTGTCATGATGTACGACGTTGGCCTGTATTTCATGCATTCCTTGTACATCAACGTAAAGGGCGGTAAACTGCAGGGTGGAGATGTAGGTGTACACTTCATTCCTTTAAATAAACTGACACAAAAACGAAAGTCACAATCAAAACATTTTTCAAAAGGTGAAATTTACGTTGATTTTTGTAAGATGATCACAAAGCACCAGATGTGTACTTTCTTTTCTGCGTCAGTTTACTTGTATAATATATATGGGCATTGTCCTTACATGCATGGAAGTGCTGAGTAGAAAGGGGAATAGCGCGGAGAAGGGACAGCCAAGGCTTTTGGTAACTTCTTGACTTAGATCGTCGTTTGTATAAGATCGTCGTTGGTTGGTTTGTTGTTTAACGCCGCACTCAGCAATATCCCAGCTGTATGGCGGCGGTCTGTAAATAATCGTCTGGACCAGACAATCCAGTGATCATCATCATGGGCATCGATCTACGCAATTTCGATACGATGACATGTCACAACCAAGTCAGCGAGCCTGACCACCCGATCCCGTTAGCCGCCTCTTACGACAAGCATGGGTTACTGAAGGCCAATTCTAACCTGTATCTTCACGGGTTTTGTGTAAGTGGATCCGTGGGGTATTGATTAGGGTGTGTACAATGTATCTCGCGTACACAAAGCCCTTTCTTGCAGGTGATCGCTCCCTATGCCGGGCCGAGGATCCCCGTAAAAAGAGATAACCCCTACGTGTGGCTTGTGATGAAGCAGACGACGACACTCGACGTGACCAACGTCAACAACATCTTCACATCGCTCTTCGACGCTGACTATTCCGTTTACATGGAAGATGTGATCTCTAGACTGGCTTTGTCAAGTGAGTCTCGTGGGTGATGGTGTACTTCTGTGTAACGTGGGTGATGTTATAACCCTGTGTCATACGGGTGATGTTATGCCCTTGTGTCACGTGTCACGTGGGTGATGTTATACCCCTGTGTCACGTGGGTGATGTTATAATCCTGTATCACATGGATGTACTCTATTGTCATATTATCAAGTGAGATTATCATCCAAGGACAATAGCTGCTGAGCAAGGAACCTATCCCAGGATGCCCGAGGAGAGATACATAGGACACTGCCATGATGAGATACTTTTCTGCATAAGTCTTATACAGAAAATTAATATGCCAATAACTGAATAATGAATGTCAGAAAATACTATCAATTTTTGTGTTGTCAGCGACGTCGTACGGCTTCAACACCTTCCGTGCCAATACCGACGAGTATGCCGCCGTCTACATCCGGAATCTTGGGTTCCTCAACGTGTGTCCTGTCCACTATGGCAAATGTAAGCCGGCTTAGAATCTTCAAAAACGTTCCAACAAATTGCGGAACATCACGGATTCAGAATTGACATCTTTCGTAATATCATTAGAATCAGATTTTATTTCTTGCTACAAAGTTGACCTCAGTCAGTCAGAAAGCAGCTTTCTCGAACTCAACTTGCGCCTTTCATTCCAGAATACCCCTTGAAAAATATCGATTCAAACTTTCAAAACAGTTAGAGAATTGAAGTGTCTTATACAGTCGTTTGTACTATACAACTTAACTGTGGGGTCGAGGTGATCGGGGAAAAGTTTTCGTTTCACGTAATTAGGAGACTGTAAGGGAGGGGCAAGGGCGAGGTGTGTGTGTTAGATTATATTAATGATCCACATCTCACGTTTCAGGGTTAACAAGCTACATCAGACAACGAGGGGGACTGCCGTCTCTAACGCCGCCCTTCGACCTCAGTATCTCTATTGACGTCAGCTTTACTGCCCCCGCAATGAACTACTGGTCATGTGACGTTCTGTACTCGAGAGGGTTGGTCCCTTCAGATACCCATTATAACCTCAGTAGAGAAAGAACAGAATAACCTGTAAAGATCCGGGTTAGAATTGATCTTCAGTAACCCATGCATGTCGTAGGAGGCGACTAACGGGATCGGGTGGTTAGACTCACTGTCTTGGTTGACACATGTCATCGTATCCCAATTGTGTACATCGATGTTCATGCTGTTGATCACAGCATTGTCTGGTCCAGACTCGATTATTTACAGACCGCCGCCATATAGCTGGAATATTGCTGAGTGCGGCGTGAAACTAAATTCACTTACGCACTAGAACAGAGTAAAGATATAATGCAATGCATAACCGAGGATGATGTCACAAAGTCAGTCTCTATAGGTATATGTGCTGTGTAAAGATATATGGAAATCCGCATACGCCCAATGCGTGGAGGATGCTCATTATGTCAATCACTGGATTGTTTGGTCCAGAATTGTTTACATGTGATTTACTTACATAGCTGGAATAATGTCGAGTGCGGCGTTTGTTTAGTGAACTAAAACTCCAACATAAGCCAACCTGCGATGATTCACGTGAATACCATGACGGAGTATTGTTTTACGCCGCTTTTAGCAACATCCCAGCAATATCACGGCTGGGGATACCAGAAATTGGCTTCACACATTGTACCCATGTGGGGAATCGAACCCAGTCTTTCGGGGTGATCTCGACGAGAAAACGCTTTAACTACTAGGCTACCCCTGCCTGAATACCATGAAAACAATGCCGGCTTCAACATAAAAAACAACAACTAAGATCAACATATCATGTTCCAGACCTGTCAACATCACCGTAGACTACCGTAATGTGAATCTGTTGGGTGCCGTGGAGACCCGGAACTCCCCCGTGGTGAGTCTGGTGCCCATGGAGCTCCGGTATGCTCCCCCTGCCGTCACACTGAGAGGTGAGTGGAACAATCCTAGCAGTACTAGTCTAATGATTCCTAATGGGACAGAGGTGAGCATGTATATTCTAGATAAATGACTAATATTCTAGTCTCACCTATACTTCTTTCCCAGATAGATGCTTGTCGTAAAAGGCGGGTAACGTTGTCATGTGGTCAGGCCCGCTGACTCGGTTGACACATGTCATCGTATCCCAATTGCGTAGATGGATGCTCTTGCTGTCGATCACTGGGTTGTCAGTTTTTTTACACTCGACAATTCACAAACCCCATACAGCTGGAACAATTCACAAACCCCATACAGCTGGAACAATTCACAAACCCCATACAGCTGGAACAATTCTCAAACCCCATACAGCTGGAACAATTCTCAAACCCCATACAGCTGGAACAATTCACAAACCCCATACAGCTGGAACAATTCACAAACCCCATACAGCTGGAACAATTCTCAAACCCCATACAGCTGGAACAATTCTCAAACCCCATACAGCTGGAACAATTCACAAACCCCATACAGCTGGAACAATTCACAAACCCCATACAGCTGGAACATTGCTGAGAGCGGCGTTAAACAACCAACCAAGAACTCTTTCCCAGACACGTGACCAGTACTCTTGTTGTGACTTCGTGACTTTGTGGATTAAATGTTCCCCAATTTTAGTTAAATCCAGGATTTGATTCGTGCACGTGACTTCACAAGTGCATAGAGGCGCAAAATAATATTCCTGTTTATAAAAGACAATACGATTATTTCATGTTACCACAGTTAATCTGTCATGACATGTCAAGTAGTTCTATTGTGTTTGTTCAGTAAAAAGTGGTTTCTTTTCAGACAAGCAGTACACCCTGTTAATGTTTGACCCGACCCCCGAGTTGGGGCACACCAAACAGAACGCTTACATCCACTGGATGGTCGTCAACATCCGGGGCACTGACATCACTTCCGGTGACGAAGTGTATAAGTGGCTAGTTCCCATGACAACAAAGTTGAATCAGCTCTACCTATTTGCCTTGTTCGAGCAAACGACACATGTTAGCACCACAAGGCCGATGACCTACGCAGGAGCCAGTTGTCCAGCTACAATCAAGTTCAGGTACGATGAAATGAGCATTTACTTTTGCCCTACCAACTGTTCCATGTATCACTCTCCACCCCCCCCCCACCCCCCACCCCACACACACACCGCCTCTCTCTCAGACGCACATACCCCCGACTAGAACCGTAAAACAGGTTGATTTGACTATGCACAACATCATACATTTCTTCTCGCCTTTTAGTTTTACTTCTAGACATATTGGTAATGATAATGATCAAGCCTCGACGCCGATTGGCTGATTTAACTGTTCATCTGTCAGTAGATCTTCTTGCATGCAGAAAAGTATCGGGAACTGTGCTCTGTTATGTCCCTTCAGAAGAAGCCAGGTCCTGCTTCTAGCAGTGTTTCCAAATTCTTAAAATTCATAATATACTTGGTATATAATGCATTGCTTGTGAGTGCAATAATATTAAATCCAATATCAAATCATTTCCCCGCACCTCACTACGTCCAATAACATTCAAAGCTTTGCCACGTACAGGTGCATGTTTCGAGCTGGCGACTTCATCCGTGACAACAACCTCACCCTCGTCGGTCTACGACATCTTAGAATCATCCCCGACACCTACCAACAGTACTTGTCGTACACCGTGGCCAAATTCCAAGCCAAGGCCCAAGCTTGTTGGGGGAGCCCTCAGACCATTCGACCTTGCTCCTCTTCCGGCAAGCACTCCACATCAGCGCCGATCGTTGGGTAAAAGTCTTCCAGGCCAGCGGGCCCTATTCTGGACCTGCATATCACTACACGGCATGCACAACTTTGTATGTTCTATAAATGAAGTCAGTGAATCAGTTCAGTTATTTTTGCGACGGAATTTCACGGCCCAATACGCTGATGTGGGGTCTTTCTCCTTAAGACTTAGGAAATAGCCGGTGTAATTGTTTACGCCGTTTTTCATCATTTTTTTTTCAGTGAGTGAGTTAAGTTTTACACCGCAATATTCCAGCCATATGTCGGCGGTCTGTAAATAATCGAGTCTGGACTAGACAATCCAATAATCAACAGCAAGAGCATCGTTCTACGCATTTGGATACGGTGACATGTGTCAACCAAGTCAACGGGCTTGACCACCCGATCCCGTTTGTCGCCTCTTATATACGACAAGCATGGGTTACTGAAGATTCATTCTAATGCGGATGCTCACTGTTTTTTCCCGAAGACATGACAGCGTAAACTAATTTCTTACATGTACCACATTGGAACCATACCTCACCGCTTGATGCTGCTACAACAAAGATGTGAGGACAAATTATTACAGGCCACGTTAGGAACAACTTTCATTTGAGGCAGCCAGAGTTCGCTTTTCAACAATGGGCTTCACATACTGTACCAATATAGGGAATCGAATCAAGATGTTTCAAAACGAGTGGACACAAGGCTACCTCACCACCCCCTTAAAGATAAGGGACATTCAAATTAATTTCCTTTGCGGCGGGTGAGGGTCAGGCGAGTAAAGGGCTGTCATCATGTGTTTCTTTGTCTGAGTCAAGGTCTGTATCAGCCAAGAGTTGACTAATACGGCAAGAGGTTACATTACAGAGTGATTTGGAAGTCCTTTACGTCTGCAACAAGGGTGAGTGAGTTTTGTTTTACGCCGCACTCGCCAATATTCCAGCTATATGGCGGCGGTCTGTAAATAATCGAGCCTTGACCAGACAATCCAGTTGGGAACCGATGACATGTGTCAACCAAGTGTCAACCACCCGATACCGTTAGTCGCCTCTTACGACAAGCATGGGCTTCTGAAGACCAATATTCTACAGGAAAAAGAGGAAAAAGCGGACAGATGTTCAGTCAGAGTATCGGATCCCCTCCACGCCGAGCTACAGGCATAGTTACAACAATTATATTATTCCCAACGTCTCCTTCATGAGATAGCCTGGGTATCGAACCTCTGATCTGCACTATATGGTGCTAAGTATACTGCGTTGTGCACGAGTGAGTGAGCTGGGTTTTTACGCCGCTTTTAGCAATATTCCAGCAATATCAAGGCGGGGGACACCAGAAATGGGCTTCATACATTGTACCCATGTGGGGAATCGAACCCGGGCCTTCGGCGTGACGAGCGAGCGCCTTAACCACTCGACTACTCCACCGCCCAGCGCTGTGCACGAGGGGTGGTGATACAGGGAAATGGTGGTGCGGTCATATGACGTCTATCTTTGAAAATTTTGTTAACGCTTATACTCCCTATCCAAATTGACAGTTCAGGTTCCCCTACTTTTTGCCGAATGTATATTTCCAATGACACAGACATACACGTTAACATATATGGCCTTGTCAAAACACCTCAAATAGTAGGAGCCAAGAATGATACCGGAAGAGCAGGGGTATTGACACTCCGTTGTCATATCTACATAAACCCCAAATAATTAAGACCCAAACATTTATGAGATATAACAAAATTTGGGGAGAGAAAGGCAGGACATCACGTGTTTTCTTTGGTTTGGGAACAGTGATTGTCTTATCCCGAAGGGGCGATAACTCTTGTCAAATTACTCGGCTTAAATACATTACAAGATCGGGGCTGGATAAACATGAAAACAATAGTTATCTCAACTTTATGAAACCCATGTTCTTGAATCCCCCCATTCAGTGTATCGTGGTAAACAGCTAGGAATGGCACTGGCTACAACACGATTGTCGTCAAAGGTTTGTAAGCTGGGACCCGTCTCGTATATCGCGCAAAGGGAGCCGGGAAACCAGCGCGAGCACCTTCCCGCTACTTATTGGACGTCATGCGCTGATTGGACGCCTAAAGAAACTACGTCATTCTATTTACTGGTTACTCGTTTGTTCTGCGTTGCGACTACTTGAACGACGGCGGCCGTCAGTATCTACTGTCTTCACAGGTAGGCATCCAGTTTGACCTTATGGCGTTTATATTCCATTGTCGTGATTACCGGTTAGGAGACACATTAAATGTCATATGATTTGATCTAGTCCCATAAGTTCTACAGATTTGCAGATGTATTGTTTACGTCAGCCTGTAGATTCTACATTGTTTACGTCAGCCTGGACTGTGCGACAAGCTGGGCCTAACGTTTATATTATCCGCCTTCCACAGCAAACACTGACTGTTGCCTTGTTATTTGAGTGATATCTTCTGAAGCTATTTTTTTTTAAAAACGGCCCTGCATCAATGTTTGATTGTCACTGTTACTGATTTTACCACGCCATTTTGTTTCTCGAAGTCACCCTTGTGTCATGTAACTGTCGCTGAATTTTCAAAGTTATATAATATTCATATAATCTTATTTTCAAATCTCTTATCTCTAAACTTGTTTATGTATGTCAAACATTTCCAAAATCCAGGTATATTTACTGCTTTTCACAATCGCGGAATGGGCGCCCTCTCACTGTCAACACAAGTGACCCAGAAAGCTACGTCACATAAGTTCGACCATATGATTGGCTTGCTTGTCGCGTAAACAGGATGACTTGTAAGGACGATCTCTTGTGTCAAATTCAGAGCTAGAGCAGCCCCAAGTAATTTTATGGTATTTATGTCCATGAAACCTTCATTTTATGTTTCCATACTTCTAAAAACGATGAAAAGTCACGAATATTCAGCTTATATACAAGTATTAATAATTATGCAGGGAATTATTCTTCAGGCTCATCGTGACGGGCATCAAACCTAAGAATGTAGACAAACACCACGAACTGGCTTGCAGAAACGTAAATATGTTCTGTACTGACATGTAGGGTGGGTACATTGTGCCCAGGTTGTATTTATCAACGACGCACTAGCTCGAACTTCATCAGGTACAAATTCACGGATATTCTCAAAAAGCATTAAGTTTTCTATAAGAAATGGTCCTTACTTGTTTCCAAAGTTTTAAATTTTGACAAGGATATCACGTGTCTGAACATTTCACAATTAGACCAGCAACGTAAACAAACAGAAGACAGGGGTGCTGTCAATTTACAACGTGTGAAATTTATACTGTTTACATTATATTTGAGCTGATAAAGTTACATTATTGATCTAGGGTTAAAAAGTAGTTGTTTGCTGAAAATGAGCTATAACTTACATTTGGTAACTTGACACGAAACATTTTCCGGTCCAAACGAATGAAAGTGGTGTCACCAGAAGATCAAAAAGCTGCAGATATCGTAAGTTATCGCTACGTATTGCGACAATTACCATTAAAAATCGGCGATCGAAGTTACATGACTTGACGATAGTTACTAGTAGCGAAAAATGAAGATTCGATTTAAATCGAATAATAATATGTTTTATTAAATGATATTTTCTTCTAGTATGAGGACTTTGGCGCTGCTCTGTGTCTTGGTGGTGGCAGTATCTGTCACGCATGGACGGCGACAGGCACGACGACGCGCAGAAAGATACGTCCTCTCCAAGAAAAGTTGGTATTCCGATAAAGAACATACATCGTTTTCATAGAATATATTGCATACCTATACTGTGCTGTACATGCTAGGTTCAGTTAAAAGCTGTATATTTAGACAGTGGCCATACGTGTATTTCCTCAAAAGCTGTTTTTGTGAAGTGAGACCTAGTGGCCATTTCCCGACCGACCCTAAATATTGTACATCTCACCTCATAATAAAATTAACGAGTAATAATGTAAAAAAATTGCAAAAAAAACCTACCTACCTACCCTAGTTCTGAAATGTAGGAAATCGGAACCATAACATTTATTTTTTTGGCCTTATCATAATAAACAAAACAAATGTGACACTACGAAATATGTCGCCTCAATAGCGGTAATCTACGTTACCGAACGTAAAAAATGCAGTGTAAAATGCATATATATATTGGCAAACATTTGTTTTGAATGCTCGCAAGTGTTTACTGGATATATTATATGTAGAAAAAATGTCATCTTGGAACACATCATACCATATATAACCGTACACAAAGACGAACCCGGTCTATAAAAAGAGTTGTGTTAAGCATGCAAGCTACGTTACCATTACTGTACAGAAACATGAATAACAGCTACCTATAAAATTGATTAGAATGAATGCTTTGTGTTTTCATAGAGTAATAAAACCGAAAAGGGAGTGCAATATGCTTCCAGTCAAGATCATGGTAGTTTGCAAACGGTGAAAGTAATCTACGTTATGAAATCTACGTCACCACCTGATATGGAATCTTACAAACTATAATTGGAAATAGATCATTTCGCTTCCTAGCATAGTCAGAGAACCCAGGCAAATAATTTGATAACCTACAACAGTTGCCATGGGTTGCTGTCACATGATCGCAGCACTTCAGGGACATTTCACGAAATTCAAATTTGGAAGGGAAACTTCATCTTTATTCGGGTAATTCCCCATGAAACAGGTAAGAATGTTTGTTAATTTACTTAATTGGAGAGATATAGTTTCAGAATATTTCAAAGCAATTGTTCTACTGTTGAGAATTTCTTCGGTAGAAGCATTCGGAAATGATCACTATATTTGGGTGTCGGTAGCCATCATTTCAAAAGTTATATTTTGTGAAGCATGTATCAATTGTTTTAATATCACATAGATTTTTTAGATATATTGATCTTAACCCTAAACATATGATATTTCGATCTCTTAAGAAATCTTTCCCCTCAATTTTGTACTCGTTCCCCAAAGTATGGTAACGTAGATTGCAATGAATCAAGTAATACCTTCATAGCTATCACATGTTCCGGTAACTGTTTATTTATTGCTCATCAAGTAGCAATAATGACTTTCATATATGGTAAATTGATGTAAAATCAGTCTATATGAGGACGTGTATTACGTCCAATGAATTAGTTTGCACGGTAACGTAGATTACAGTTTGGTAACGTAGATTACAAAAATATCATTGTTGAATTCTGACAGAATGGGCAAGACTCATGCCGAGATCCAGCGGGATTACGGATAAGGGAATAGGGAGAAAGAGGGAATGAATGTTATTCATCTGAACAAGTGTTTTTTGTGCAAATCTGTAATCTGCGTTACAAACTGAAAGGCATTCATTGACAACCTGATCAATAATATTACCTTACGTAAATGTTGTTGTATTCTCAGTGAAGTTTATTATATTACCTCTCAGATGTCGATTCTTTTTGTCGTCTTTTTTAGCGTAAGGAACTGTATTTAACAGTATAACATAAACGGCCACATAAGTTTATATTTTCAAGAGCTTTGCCTTGATAAACTTTATTGTTATAATGCTAACAAACACAACTGAGTGGAGAGGATGTTACATGTAATGTTGTTTTCTTAACGAACCACAACTTTGGGAATAACGACTGAATTTTGTGAATGCTATCTCCCTTCAATGTGTTATGCAGCCACCATAAAGAAACGTCACGTAGATTACAACGTTCGTGTAGGGTAGTATTGCATGAGATGTGATGGAATTTTTACAAGCTCCCCTTGAGTGCTACAATTTCTGATTTTCGTTCGTGACACTTTCTTCAATAAAACAGCAACAACAGGTGACAGAAATATTGTCTTTATTTTTTTACGATTTGTGTCTTTCAAATTGGGTCATTCTCTGTGAGAATTGATGTGTAGCTTTTTGACGCATAACAATATATCGCACAATTAGCACTGCCTATTTACAAAACCAGTTTAAAATTTTCATTTATTTTATACCATCAGATAGGAAATTGAATATTTTAGGTTCGCTGACTTGGTTGACACATCCAATTGCTTGATCGATGCTCATGTTGTTGTTCACGGGATTGTCTGGTCCAGACTCGATTATATTTACAGACCGCCACCATATAGCTGGTATATTGCAGAGTGTGGCGTAAAACTAAACTCACTCGCTCACTCTTATTGTTGACTTACGGGTCAAGAAGACTTGGAAGGTCTTCAATACCATTGGTAACCCTGTGTTTGTTCAAGAGTCTTGAAATGATGGATGGATTGTACCCAATTTGATCTCCAATTTGTCTGTGGGACATACCTGCATTTGTCAATAATGTACCACCTTGTAGCCTCTGACAATTTACGACGTGCCACGACAATTATGGTACTTAATATTCAGTCCAAATTGAAAGGAGAGAATGTGGCATATCATCATCAGTAAAAACCTGATTTCAACAATGTTGAGTGGATGACATTTCACGTGCATTGAAGATCTCTACAAAATATCATGCTATACGGCAAGATGCAAATTGTTAATAAATCATTCAGACAAATGCTCTGTTTTCTTAATTCACAGAATTATAGGTCTGCGAATTATGTGCTACCTAATAAATTCCCGTATGTATATATCAAACTTGATAATATAGATTAATGTGTTGTTTCTTTGTTTGTGTGTTGTTACCCTCAGCAATGTGGCAGGCACATGATGATAGTTTGTAAGTAATCGAGTCTGGACCAAACAATCCAGTGAATGACATTATAAGCATCGATCTAAACAGGATGACATAAATCTTGCATAGATCCATGTACAATGTGTTAACTTAATTCAGTTTTACTTCGACACATAAACATGGGGGTCCGCAGTGAATATTTTTCTGCGTCCATTCCCAGCAAATGACTGTCGCGTAAAACTATGAACTTAATATATAAAGCAGGGATTGGGATAGAGAACCTTGACAATCGGCCATTTTCAGGATTCTAAATTTAGAATGGGCCACTGCCCTTGTATCAATAGTAAACTTCAAAGTTTTAATGGGCCATTTTTTATTCTAATGTGCAAAATGGTCCATGCCTTTCCCAATACTTTATAAAGTGACCAGTCCTTGATTGACCTTGTCATTTGCAGATGACTATGCACTAAAGGCGTGGATTACCCGTTATTTCGACAAGCAGTTGAGTAGATTCCTGAAGATGACAAAGGGATGGTTAAGAATAAGGTAAGTTATTTTAGGACTATACTGTTTAAGGCTTAGCAAATAAAGTATTGAGAGTGAATTCGTCCCGAAGTATTTGCATTTCATTGATACAATTAAAATCCACTTTTTCAGAATGTAACCAGTTGCCACGGTATGCATTGAGTCTACAAGTATTGTCTGCCTTCACTCACAGGCAAACAGTAGCCCTATTTATTTTAATAACATGTCAGCTAAATGTAGAAGAAAAGTCTTTACTTACCACCTCGAAGTCATGAAAACCGTGATTCGAAACTAGCATTCTGGCACACCCAAGGGGCGTAACTCCGAACACCAAACTCCATAACGGTTACTTGGTGCATGGATGATTTAATGTCACATCGACATTTAAACATTGCCCATTCAAAAATATTCTAAAATGTGTTTCTCCTCTAAACACAGCCGTACACAAGTGAAGGTTCTACAATATATGAACAGACGGCATATGGTGCGCAACTGCGATTTCTACCGGAAGTATGCCACCGACACATTGTTGCGCTACGTAAGTATCTTTTGTTATAAAAATCAGGATCCTCTGTTGAATCCGGGTTTGAACTGATCTCCAGAAACCAACGTGGCACGGATGTACAGTCTTGGTGACTTGGTTGGTTGCTGTCATGGTACCGCGGCTGTGTGGATCGTTGCTCTAAATATCAACCACTGGTTTTGTCCAAACATGATGAATGGGTGTATATACCCAGTTTACAGACCCTTGAAGACCCACGCAATAATGGGTATTCAGTCAGCAAATTAAGCTTGTAAGAGACGTCTTTGGTTGATTATGACATTATCCCTGTTGTCCAGATCGATGCTCATGATGTTGACCACTGGATTGTCCACCCGTGAAGACCGGATAAGAATTGGTCTTCAGCAACCCATGGTCAGAGGCGACAAACGGGTTCGGGTGGTCAGCCTCCCTGACTTGGTTGGCATGTCATCGGTTCCCAATTGCCAAAATCGATGCTCATGCTGTTGATCACTGGATTGTCTGGTCCAGATTTGATTATTTACAGACCGCCGTCATATAACTGGAATATTGCCGAGATTGGCGTAAAATACAATCACTGGATTATCTCATCCAGGATTGATTTTCACCGATCACCGTCATATAGCTGTTGTATTGTATTGTTGTGTGCAGCCTTACACATCAACCCATACAAACATGCTTATGTTCCAGCGTCTCCGTCTAACTGCGAGGAACTATCAACTGGCGGGACGGCGCATCGGACAACGGATCCAAATGGGGTGGAGGTACTACCGGATGATATCTAAAAAACAGCTGCCAAAGTTTACAAAACGCATTGAAAGAGTCCTCGCCAGTAAGTAACACATAATTTAGGCAAATCGGTAACTTCAGTCTCTTGTCCAAATGCCAGTTCGTACCCTTTTGAAAACATATGCTCGTGTTTGCCGAAAGCATTTATGTTTTAATGTATTTGCTCGTGATTTCGAATTGTTCAAGGCTTAAAGTAGTACTCAAAAAGCTCTCATGAGCAAGGTATATTTTTGCCAAGGCCTTTCAGTAAACACTCACGCCACTTTGGAAACAAAGGGGGCGGTGTGGTAGCCTTGTGGTTAAAGTGTTCGCTCGTCACTGGGTCACCCGAAGGACGGGTTCGATTCCCCACATGGGTACAATGTGTGAAGCCCATTTCTGGTGTCCCCTGCAGTGGTATTGCAGGAGTATTGCTAAAAGCGGTGTAAAACTAAACTCACTCACTCCCAAACGAAGCTACGATGTGTGCAAGGGGATGGGTGTAATGGGAAACAGATAAAATAAATCTGGTACTGGAGGCCGTCAGAGACAGATACATATTACACCACAATGAAGAAAGTATCGCAGTGCTATTGCGTGTGTATTGCATGTCGTTTAGAAACTGTGTGGAACATTAGTATTACATGAGAGATACCTTTTCGTTAAAGATAACCTGAGATTTGACAGATATTTCGCATGTATTGTGTATCGATAACTTTCTTTAAAAATAACATGAGATTTGATAGCTATTTCCCATGCAGTGGTATCGATACCTTTTCGTTAACGATAACCTGAGATTTGACAGATATTTCGCATGTATTGTGTATCGATAACTTTCTTTAAAAATAACATGAGATTTGATAGCTATTTCCCATGCAGTGGTATCGATACCTTTTCGTTAACGATAACCTGAGTTTGACGATATTTCGCATGTATTGTGTATCGATAACTTTCGTTAAAAATAACATGAGATTTGATACTATTTCCCATGCAGTGGTATCCATACCTTTTCGTTAACGATAACCTGAGATTTGATTGTATTGTGTATCGATAACTTTCGTTAAAAATAACATGAGATTTGATAGCTATTTCCCATGCAGTGGTATCGATACCTTTTCGTTAACGATAACCTGAGATTTGACAGATATTTCGCATGTATTGTGTATCGATAACTTTCTTTAAAAATAACATGAGATTTGATAGCTATTTCCCATGCAGTGGTATCGATACCTTTTCGTTAACGATAACCTGAGATTTGACAGATATTTCGCATGTATTGTGTATCGATAACTTTCTTTAAAAATAACATGAGATTTGATAGCTATTTCCCATGCAGTGGTATCAATACCTTTTCGTTTAAGATAACATGAGATTTGATAGCTATTTCCCATGCAGTGGTATCAATACCTTTTCGTTTAAGATAACATGAGATTTGATAGCTATTTCCCATGCATTGTATGTCGATTCCTTTTGTAAAGATAACCTGAGATTTGACAGATATGTCCAATGTATGGATGTACCAACGTATGAAACAAAGCTATGAGTGCAGGATATTTATCGTAATGGGAACGAAATATAATAAAACTGTTACTGGAGGCTGTCAGGGACACTTACATATAAAACCACAAAGAAGAAGGACAAGAAGCTTAGTGTGTTATATATTGATACCTTTACTTTAAGCTGACATAATGAGATTTGGTAAATAATTCCCATGCAGCGGTATCCATACCTTTTCGTTAAATGTAACATGAGATTTGATAGCAATTACCATGCACTGTGTATCGTACCTTTTCGAAGATGACATATTATTGGATTTGATAGGTATTTCCTATTCATGGGCGGATCCAGAAATTTTGAAAGGGGGTGTTCAGAGGGTTCGCAAAAAAAATCTTCAATGTGGTCTTAAGTCATTTTCAAATGGGTGGGGGTGGGTTTAAAAAACAACAACCTTGTGCCCACCCTCCCTCTGGATCCGCCAATGCACCAATACCTTTCCACTGGTCTTTATGCGTACTTTCCAAGAATGTTAACAACTTACCGAACTCGTCTGCCAGTTCTATATGTTTATTATTTTGTTGTATATTCAAAATAAATAAAACTGTAGTCACGAAATCAGTAAACTGTTATGGCTACAGAGTGGCACAACACACGAGCGTTTCCAGGAAGACTGTAGTTCAGAACAGTCGGTGGTATGTACAATAATACTACTGACATTCCTCACCATGAAGCCTCTTGTAGGATTCTAGTTGCTATCAGCATCCCTTGTGCAAGGATCGAACCGAAGCTGGCTGAATTCCTGTGCCAACGTCCGTTTTTAACACATGGATACACCGCAATCACGAAGTGATTATTTAATTAAAATGTAATATTTGGTAATGGGTGGTTTGGGAATTATACGAAACAATTCGTAGCGTTAATATTCATTGCTTGAATCTAATTCTATTTTACAGAACGACCTGGTGACCTAGTTTGCTAGAGTGACCCCTGTCTACATGATGAGGTAACACATTAGTTTCCAACAGTGGTTCATGGGGGTTTAACTAACAATAGGGGCAGTGGGGTAGCCTACAGGTTAAAGCATTGGCTCGTCACGCGGAAGACCCGGGTTCGATTCCCCACATGGGTACAATGTGTGAAGCCCATTTCTGGTGTCCCCTGCCATGATATTGCTGGAATATTGCTAAAAGCGGTGTAAAACCATACTCACTCACTCATGTTTATATTCCAGTGTTGCTGTTTGATAGTCAAGTGGTTGAACAGACCCCTGTTCAATTCACCACACGGGTGCATGCCCAATGCTGGGCCTCGTTCCTCAAAGCGATCGTAGCGCTAAGATGATCGTAACTCCCATACTTTAACATAGACTTACAACTGTCGTAGCGCTACGATCGTTTTGAGGAACGGGGCCCAGGTGTCCAGCGATGTTGCTAGAATATTGCTAAAACGGGAGTAAAACCACACTCACTCATGCTGATTCAGGGCGCTGGAATAGCCAAGTGGTTAAAGCTTGTACTGGTTATGCCAAGTGTACAGGGTTTCCTAGCCATAGAATATTGCTAAAACTGGCATATAACAATACCGACTCGCTCCCTATTGACTTGTTTGGCCAACCATGTTTAGAGGGATGATCAGTCAAGGTTCTGATACAGATTAAGTACAGTATTTCCTTGTCTTTATTCTTTGTTCTCTGTTGCAGATGTCCCCCTTCATCCAATGTGTTCGCCTCATGTCAAGTGCTCCTGTGACAGACTCCGTCAGGTTTGCATCCAACCTTGAGCTTCGCAGCATCCGTAGCAATGAAACACTCTCAAGGTCAAGGCCACTGGTAGTCCTGGTGGGTTGGATGATGGCGAAGAAGCGTCATCTGGATAAATATGGAAATTTATATCTGAGCAAAGGATTTGACGTACTAAGTGTTCAAGTTCCTCCTAGCAAAGTGATCCAGCCAAAGAAGGCCCAGATTGTCATCCAAAAGGTTATTGATATTCTGGATGATGGCAGCAGACGTGATAAGCCACTCATGATCCATGGGTTCTCTGTTGGGGGATATCTCTGTGGCGAGATGCTGGTCACTCTGAGGGACCAGGCAGCAAGGTACGGAAATATTCGAGATCGACTTATGGGTCAGATTTATGACAGCCCTGTTGATTTTGAAGGTGTTCCAAGAGGATTTGCTTATGTCGTTGGCTTTCAGTTTTTCTCGAGCCATATTTTGCTTATTTATTGATGTCATTTTATAGACATTTTAATGTCTATCAACGTATTTTAGCATCTTGGCAAGAGTGGTCTCCCTTTCATTACAGGTTTCCCCTGGAAGGCCATCCATTGTTTCCCATTGTGTGTGAATTAGAGACGTTTGATGGTAATCAGCTATGTTTATTCGAGACATAAAGGGACATTCTCAGTCCTATTTTAACCACAACCCTGTGTGTCAATAAAGTGGGCATAATTTATAGGGACAAATAAAGCTCGAGTAAGAGGTGCAGAACAATGTATGCTTAGATTTGTATGTAAGATTGTTCATGTTCCACAGCCTTAACACCTCAACCCTGCACCTTGCTTCAATATCAGGCAATGCTTCCACAAGGGTCATGAACATTGTTAGTGGACAGTTTGTTTTTTGACCTTCTGAAGCGAAAGATAATATCAGAATCTGGAATACACAAGAATAGATTCACCCCAAATTCGATTCCCCACTTGGTAACAATGTCTGAAGCCCATTTCTGGTGTTCCCCTATTGCTTGAATATTGCTAAAAGTGGCGTAAAACCATACTCCCTCACTTCTCTAGGTACATTCTTGTGGTTTGACTACAACTATAGTCTGTTTGCAGTGAAAACGTACCGATGAATTTCACTTTAAACAAAAAAGTAAATCACATAAAGTGAAATTAGGATTGCGAATCCTCATGATTTTCCCTTTCCAATTGAACTTTTAAATCTCAGAATTTTATTCAACTTAGGATAAAAGTTGTTTAACAAACGATCATATTTTCAAATCGCTATTATTGGTTTGTAATACAAGGGGGTACGCGCAGTAGTTGGAATAGTGAAACAAATGCACGTGCGGTCCGTGATGAGCGTTAACTTAGACTACGGTAGAAACCAACCCTTGTTCTCGGGGTTTCATTTAAAGTCCATACCCCCTTGTAATACATACCAATAATAGCAATTTGAAACTATGATCGTTTGTTTAACAACTTTTATCCTAAGTAGAATAAAATTCTGAGATTTTAATGTTGAATTGGCAAGGTAAAGTTATGAGGATTCGCAATCTTGATTTCACATTATTTGATTTACTTTTTTGTTTAAAGTGAAATTCATTGGTACGTTTTCACTGCAAACAGACTATACACTTGTGTGATATCGAAGATATATTTATCAGACCTAATAGTTAAAGTGTACAGATGCCTTTACTCTTTCAGGAAATTTAGTGCCATGCCACTGGTAAAGATTGTCACTCTGTATTTAACAGTGTGTTTCAGGTACATGTATATTCAGTACCTGAAAAATATGTTGTTTTCTTTCTGTTTGTGGAAGTTTGTAAGAATGATAATATGTAAGAATAGTCCTTGTCATGTCTCTTATTTTGAAGTTGCTGATATGCAAATATTGATATCTGGTGGGCTGCATTATTGATGTGTTCCTATTTGATACCTGATCAATATGACCTTGTCTGACCTTGAATTTATGTACATATTGATGAATACACGTGATCCCGTCTTATTGTCACTAATGATAAATAAAGTGTGATTATAAAACAGCTCTCTGTTAAATTGTTATTTTACCGAAATCTTGTTATTTATCATTATTCCATGTTCTTGATTTAATAGAAGGATAGATGTGAGATATTGTAATGAAACAATGTATGGCGTGCCCAGGGGTTGCTACTCTGCCAAATTAGAGCCTTTAACGATTGTGCTCCTTGGTAATCTGTACCCGTGAATATCCCGGTTAGAATTGGTCTTCAGTAACCCATGCTTGTCGTAAGAGGCGACTAACGGGATCGGGTGATCTGACTCGCTGACTTGGTTGACACGTTTCATCGTATCCCAATTGCGTAGATCGATGCTGATGCTGTTGATCACTGGATTGTCTGGTCCAAACTCGACTATTTACAGACCGCCGCCATATAGCTGGAATATTGCTGAGTGCGGCGTTAAACAACAAACCAACCTTGGTAATCTGAAGTTCCAGGTTAGAGCTAAGGAAGCATCACCCTTACAGCTAGCATCTCAACTACTGTGAAACAAAATCACGAAACTGTACTAAGAAAGTGTAATCCCAAAATATAATATATGTTACAAACGCACGAATGTAAGAAAAATAATTTATTTACAAAAACTTTTCACAATAGTGAAGATGTATATTGGGTTTCAACTGTGTGATGTTGAAAAGTTAACAAAGGATTTTAATCAAGTAATCTGTTGGATTCGATCCAGCGGATCCAGTAACAACAAGGGAAGTAATTCCGCCATGACATCACCATCCACCCCACCCCGAGTGCTTCCGTATCACAATAGCATACCAGTTCTGCAGTGTTGTAAGGCTCAAACAATAATCTGCGTATTTCTGGTTGCGCATTGCCTAACAAACACAAATGGTGATCATTTCCGTTTTGTCATGTATGCTACCATCACTGTCAGGAGTGAAACAAAGATGGCGGATGATGTCATTTTCTCTGAACCGGAAGTCGGACACGGATCAGCGTAGCCGGATGTGTCTTTGCATGCGTCGTCCTTGCTTTGGAGTTTAGCCACAGAGTAGGACATAAACTGTTGATAGGTGTCGGGAACAATCTTTAGATACCTCAAACCGACGAGGGATAGTTGGTTATCACGAATAAAATCTCCGGCCTGAAATTTGCACCTGTCGCAAAGAAAAGAAATATATTTGAGAGTGAAAAAATGAATAACACGTAAGTGGAGATTGAGTGTCCTTAAGAGATAACAGGAAATTTGCTGAATTCATTAACTACATGACCCCAGTAAATGCTAGAAAATTAATTACAGTCACAGTCTTTGATATTCACGTCAGCTCTAGAGTGATCGGACCGAGTTAGAAGTGGTCTTCAACAAACCATGCGACTAAAGGGATCGGGTGGTCAGGCTCGCTGCTCATTATGTCAATCACTGGATTGTCTAGTCCAGAGTCGAACATTTACAGACCGCGGTCATATAGTTGGAATAGTGCAGCATTAAACAACAAACTACAACGATCGAGTCTGGACCAGACAAATCTATGTTTGTCACCATTAGCCACGGTTCATTCAAATTCATGTCATACAAACTCACCTGTTCAAAACAAATTCATGACAACCGTCTCCAGCATATGATTTAACGGAGGAAACGTTTACAGGAGTCGTCTGTTCAAACAAGGCAAACAGGTAGAGCGTATTCAATCTTGAAGTCATGGGCAATAGCCAGTCATACACAACGTCACCGGAAGTGACGTTAGTACCCCGGATGTTGATGATCATCCAATGAACATACGAGTTCTGTTTGGTCATGTTGAGTTCAGGGTTAGCGTCATACATCATCAGCGTGTACTTCTTGCCTGAAACAAACCAATAACGGCAGGTTAAAAATGGGGAAAGCACATTTTCAGGCATATGGAGGGAATTGATTGTATTGAAACAGTTGATACTTTGGCCGCACATAAATTGTCAAATGCAGAAATGTTAGAAAATGTTGGTTCACATAGTAAAATAGGGACACTGCGCCATCTTGAGTGAGTGAGTGAAAGAGTTTAGTTTTACGCCACTTTTAGCAATATTCCAGCAATATCTTGGCGGGGGACACCAGATATGGCCTTCACACATTGCACCCATGTGGGGAATCGAACCCGGATCTTCGATATGACGAGCGAACGCTTTAACCACTAGGTGTCAGCTTGATGTGGGACCAGTTCCAGAAGTGATATAGCGTAGGGTCTCCTGGCTCTCAGGCCAATCTCTCAACCTGTTCCGTACAGTTTGACCGGATATCCTCTGAAGTGCAGGCACTGCTGTCACCCGTGGCAGTACGACCACGAAAATGTAGTGCCCGGATGTACCGATCTTGGGCTGCAGTGGTGACTCAAAGTCTGCCTGTATGGGGACGGTCATTTGCTATACCTGTTTGGTTGTAACGAGCTGCAAGCCGTGATATCGTGCTCAGACTAACATTCAGACGCCTGGCAAAAGGAGATTGGTAATCTCCAGCGTGCATTCTTTCAAGACGTGGCGTAATGATTTGACATTGAAACTCCTTCAAAACGAGAGTAATCTGGATTTTTATAGCCAGACAGTGCATGCTTTTTGCTGCACAATTTCAACGGGAAGGTGATTTTTGTTGCGCTGTGACGATGCGGTTTTAATCCTTGTAAGAAATCTCATCAAAATCAACATTTTGAGGTGAGGTCGATTTTCTACTTGTGCAATTGTGTAAAATCATGTTATCAACACTTTTGTTGCATCGAACACAATAGGTAATATAATAGATTTTTAAAAATACAAAACACCTATGCGTTTTTTTTCGGGGATAGTATATTTAGTACAGGTACACCAGCTACGTTTTGGAATTTCATTTTGTAGTCTTCCGTCGACTGTTTTCAGCCCGGTAACATTTTTTGTAAGGCTTGTTATTTTTTAGTCAAATCCTATTTTTGAATGTATGTTTTCTGACAGTTTGTATTTAAAAATAGAAATAATTAAAATAATTGATTTCTCAAGCGCCTAGTATCCATCAACAGGTGCTCACTGGTTCTATGACAAAGTTAAAACCATCTTCACAGCCAATCAGGGTGAGGTACCTTTGAGCGTGTCCGCAGGTGCTTGAAGGATCTCCGTAGGGACGAGGTTAATATTCGGGGTGTTTCGAGTCTCCACGGTTTCGAGAGTGCCGGAGTTCCTATAATCCAAAGACACGTTGACCGCGCTGGAAAGTAGAGAAAGATGACCACATAACAGACGTTGGTTATCAAACAATAATTAATGAACATACTATGAACACAGTAAAACAGTACTTTCTCGCAATGCCACCTAGGGTTGCATTTTGACAAGATATTATTTCAGGTACAGCCACAAAACGGGAAGGCGTACATAATATAGCCTAATCATTTAGAGGAGAATACATTTTGCAGCAGTGTATTTTGGTGGCAGACAAGAAGTTCTTTTGATAAAAAGTCAGAATAATTTTTTTCTCTAGCATTTACTTGTATCATATGTCTCTAGCATTTACTTGTATCATATGTCTATTTCGATAAAACACCCCAATCCACCCCAGAAGTACGTTGGTAGCTCGAAAATATAAATTCAACTTTAAACCTTTCTTCCCACAAATACCAGTATTAAATACTATACGGTTCTTAAATATACAAAGCACCTGCATAAATTGTATACACACACTCGTACGGATCTCTTTTCAGCATGGATTGTATTCAGTTTTGAATTCACCCTCAATCACTTTTTACTCATCTACGTTTTGTAGAGGGTAATTGTCTCGGCCTATAATGGAGCAGAGGCCAGCAGGGACTAGAGGCCGTGTTTCTGACCTTGTTTGGTACAACAATACAATGACAATATCAAGGAACGTACCCCTTGCTTCCCTCCTTGCAGCAAGCTTCATACGTTATTGGAGAGGCGGTGAACGTGACGTCAAGTGATATACGGAGGTCGAAAGGGTTTTACGGCGTTAGGTAAGTGACGGCAAGCCCCCTCGCTGTTGAATGTAGTCGCCTAGCCCTGCAAATGAGAGAAGGGGAGTCTGCATAGGAACCATAACTATTTATTCCGTTCGCATCATGTGGCTGATGTGAAACATGAACTATTTTTATAAGCTGGATCTGACGCTATTTTTTCTGGACATGACTTGAAGAAAGGTGACGTCGGATTGGGTCGTGATGTGAAACATGAACTATTTGTGTGTGTGTGTGTGTGTGAAGAAAGGTGACGTCGGATTGGGTCGTGTGCGTGCGTGTGTGTGTGTGTGTGAGAGAGAGAGAGAGAGAGACATAGTATACTGACTGAGTTAACCAGTCTTAGTTTTATACCCTTAAAGCCCAGTGCAAGGCAGAGCATTAACAAGAACATCCGACCTTCTGCTTTTGAGCAGACGCTAGAACAGGTCTAAAACATGTACACACCTAGTGTTGAAGCAACTTACATTGTCCATAGTAGTGAGGGCATCTGTTGTGAAACTTCATTCCACGGACAAGCACTGCAGCGTATTCGTCATTGGTTACCTTGACGACGTTCAAGCCATACGAACCTGCACAGACAATATGTAACACAACACATAAACACTTAAAGTTTGAATATAAATATAAGTTAAAAACAAATAAAAAATCCATGTACAATAAATCTTCACAGTAATGTCGGGAGTGGTCTATAATTGAGTTCCAGTCTACATACTACTCAACTTTTGCAACAGACACAGACACGTAGGTATTATTTCAAAACGTTACACTTTTCCAAAACATGATCTAATATGTTTCAGTTTGTAAAAAATATTTTTTTAAACAAATTAGCAAATTACAAAATGTACAGTTAACCAGCTCCATCTCCATTATTTAGTGTCCGATGTTGTCACTGGCCTCAGAGGAAAACAACTGACCATCTCACGAACATCACGGCAGTATGTAAAGCAATCAGTTCCTGGCCTGGCAAACTACTCGCCCATAGTATCTATACCAAAGACCACAGCATTGGTCTAGCTTCTGTTCTCACCTGTAAGGTTGAAGCGGGACACCATCATGTCGAGGTACATGCTGCCACCATTGGCTGATGTCTGGTTGTTGAAGAACGCCGTGACGACAGCAGCGTTCAGAGACGTCGGCTGTTTGAACACGATCCAGACGTAAGGGTTTGTGCGATCCACAGGACTCGCTGGACCAAAGTAAGACTTGATTGTCTGGGGGAGAAAAAGAAATCATGATAATCTGCAGTTTAACGTGAATACATTTTCAAGACCCGACATGTATATTAGTTGGTTGGTTGGTCTATTGTTTAACGCCGCACTCAGCAATATTCGAGCTTTATGGCAGCGGTCTGTAAATAATCGAGTTTGGGCCAGACAATCCAGTGATCAACATCATGACCAGACAAATCTACGCAATTGGGATACGATGACATGTGTCAAGTCAGCGAGACTGACCACCCGATTCCGTTAGTCGCCTCTTACGACAAGCATGGGTTGCTGAAGATCAGTTCTAACCTCTATCTTCAAGGGTTAAAAATGTATGACATTTCCGACCACCTGGTGTCATCACTGTTTGATAATGATTCATGAACCTGATAAAGTCGTAATGCTCTTTTAGCAGTGATTTCTTGTGAATATAAAAAGTCGCTTGTATTAAAGCGCTGGGATATTCTGCTAAATTATAGTCCAATAGTTCGATACCAGCATAGCGAAGAGTGAGTGAGTGAGTTGGGTTTTACTCCGCTTTTAGCATTATTCCAGCAATATCACGGCGGGGGACACCAGAAATGGGCTTCACACATTGCACCCATGTGGGGAATCGAAACCGTGCCTTCGGCGCGACAAGCGTGCACTTTAACCACTACCCCAACGCCCCTCATAACAAAGAACATTCGGGCTCCAGATGGTTATGTGATTACCCATCCGGCTACTAGATCAATGCAATGTGCCCTAAGTTAGTTCTGTGACGCCATACATGCGTGTATCTGACCAAGATGCAACATACCTCTCCTCCCTGCAGTCGTCCCCCTGCGACATTGACGTACAAGGCATGCGTGTAGAAAATACCGGCGTCATACAACACTACAGTGTAAAGTGCATCGTCATCCGCCTCCCATGTCACTTCCGGCTGCTCACGCAGGTCGAATGGGTTGTACACGTTGTCGTCGAGAGGGTCGATGGTGAAGGTACGTTTTGTCGTCATTGGTACCGTCACTTTTCTTCCACAGCCTTCGTATGTACCTGCAGAATCAAATATTTGCTCGAGTAATGTAATTATTAATTATCGTAAACCCTCCTTACCTTGGGACCCGTGTAGTTCCTGGTAAGATTTGATCTTCAGTAACCTATGCTTGTCGTAAGAGGCAACTAACGCGTTAACGGGATCGGATGGTCAGGCTCGCTGTCTTGGTAGACACATGTCATCGTATCCCAATTGCGTAGATCGATGCTCATGCTGTTGATCACTGAATTATCTGGTCCAGACTCAATTATTTACAGACCGCCACCATGTAGCTGGAACATTGCTGAGTGCGGTGTAAAACTAAATCACTCACTCCTTACCTTGGGCAGAATATTTTTCTCGTAAGATAGTTTTAAACTACAGTCTAATGTATCTTACCATTACTGGACCCGACTGGCCTAGCGGTGTCAATCATCCTAATTGCCTATGAAGAGTGCTGCCCCTTAACAGTGCCAGGATTCTCTGGTCGTTGTGTTGGTCCTGATTTGCTCGATTATGTTTATAGTTCAACTTGGTACAAGTGGTACCTTATTCTGGGATTAAAACCAAAATATCTTGGTGTCAGAAGTACTACCGTTGACGACGCTTACCTGGAGATGTAGTGTACGTGACGTTGACGACGAATGAGAAACCGTTGGCGTCGGTGGCGGCGTCTCCCAGCAGTCGAGTAAGGAGGGAAGTGCGGGAGGGTTTAGCGTTCATACACCTCAAGGTGTTTTGCAAATCAGCGGGGCAGGCCGTCGTATATGCCGTCCCAAACCAGTAGGCTGAAGTGTTGGTATAGAGGGACGTAACGGCCGCCTTGCATGGCGCATCATGGTCGACACTGCAGACTGTCTGGGAAGTAATGCCTGTAGGAACATATGAAGTGGTTTATTATATTTGTGTTGTTATGGCATTGTAACGATAAATTCGCCTTGTCTGTATTCTTTCACATCATCATGTAGTCCTATAATCCTTCAACCCCAGTGTCTAATATCCACATCATCAAATAGTGACAGTATCATACACATTTTATGTTACACCCACATCGTCATAAATAAACATCACACAATCACATCATCATCATACATTCTTATTATCATCATACATTCATATAATCATACATTCACATTATCATCATACATTCGCATTATCATCATACATTCACATCATCATACATTCACATTATTATTCATTCACATCATCACACATTCACATCATCACCATACATTCCCATTATCATCATACATTCACATCATCATGCATTCACGTCATCATCATACATTCACATTATTATCACACTTGATCAGTATACATTCACATTATCAGCATACACTAACGGTATTATCATAAATATAATTATAATACATTCGTATCATCCCTCATCATTAACACTGCGTCATGCGTATATATTCATGTTAATCATAGTTTGTTCATTTTCAATGATGTTCCAACAATTTTCCAAAAGGTGACTTTGCTCCATGTCACTTTCCCTGAAAAATTGCATATGAAAGACCGTTACAAGCGCAACACACGCTGTCAATACTTTTGTTTAGCGGTAGCTCAACAGGACACGGTCGTCTGGGATCTTATTTTAATGTTCAGAACAACTGTATCAGGTAAATATATTACCGGGAACAGGATCAACCTATATCCTGGTGTGATTCCTGTAACAAGACAGTCAGTGACCTGTAACAACCTGTAACAGTTTTTTCCGACACCCATCGCGTGCAGGGACATGCGGATATTACTGCAGTGATGAGATGCAATAACGCACATGGCCGACCGCCAACCGGATGTGGCTATCTGGTGACAAAGCGTCGCTTCCTGTTGTCAATGATATCCGCCTTACTATGGCCGTCATCAACAGACGGAACAATCGACATGTTCAACAAGTGCACATTCATGACGACGTCGTCCGGGCTGCCTAGGAGGCCGGTGGTCATGTTGGGGTCACTCCAGACTCGATTATTTACTGACCGCCGCCATATAGCTGGAATATTACTGCTGAGTGCGGCGTAAAACTAAACTCACTCACTCATAAACTGTTGATATGATCGTAATGTTCTGATAACGGTGCACTAATAAACGACATAAGGGACGGAATATTTTCGAAGAAGACTTAAGTCTGAATTTTGAATTTGAAAGAACACTCAGCAAAATGCATTTCCTCAAATAAACTAAAATCGAATTTAAACTCAAACTTTGTGGACAATTTGTGTTCGTTAGACATGTTACTTAGGTTGTTTGGGTTCTTTGGTTTAAGAATTGCAAGTGAGCTGTTTTACATTCTCACACTCAGTTTTAAATTTGAGTAAAAACTTCAGTTTGTTTCGAGAAATCGGGGCTTGCGGGTTTAAAATTTCTAAGAATCGAAGGTGACTGACATATTCTAAGTCATAGTGATATTTATACGAAATATGTACTGTAAGAAATACTCACATATCAAAACGGATAAACCTAAAAAATCTCTAATTACGAAAATAGAAATATAACAAATGAAAACGATATTTCTTTTCCCTTGAGGACCTGGGGCGTATGGTGTTTATTTGACAGAGGAGGGAACGTAGCACAGCTTTTGTTCTGTTGTATTACTTTTAAACAACAGTTTCAGAAGAAATTCAAAATTATACTTTAATCATGGCAATATTTGTGATTATTTTCATTCCTCGTGAGGGGCAGTGGGGCAATAATTAAAGTGTCCGCTCGTCATGCCGGAGACCCGGGTTTTATTCTCCACACGGGTACAATGTGTGAAGCACATTTCTGGTGTCCCACGTCGCGATAGTGCTGGAATATTGCTAAAAGGGGTATAATACCATACTATCATGATGATGAAAATAATGTACAATGATTTGAAAGTCGTATTCGAAACTGCTCGAACTTTAAGGGATTACCGCCATATAGCTGGAATATTGCTGAGTGCGGCGTAAACCTAAACTCACACACTCACATTCAGGGATTACAAGTTGTAAGGTATAAAATTATAGGTAGTTCAGTTATTAGGACATTTACGAGTCGTACATTGTTTCATTTCTGTATTTTTAAGTCTGATATAACAGTCGGAGAGTGAAGAAGAGAGTGAACGACACTTCGCCAGTAACACCGCCATAACTCAACAGTAACCTTGCGTGTTACACCAAACATAATGAACATGGGTCACGTATGAAGACAACAAACATCAAAAGAAACGAAGCAACAGTGAACGTCCTTCCCTTCGTTGTCATCGACGTGACGGATGGTACACTGTATACCACATTTCATGTTTAGGTGAAGAAAAACGATAGATTCAAATTTCCAAATTTATCTCTTTTAGATGCCGTAGTGAGTGAGTGAATTTAGTTTTACGCCGCTTTTAGCAATATTCCAGCAATATCACGGCGGGGGACACCAGAAATGGGCTTCACACATTGTACTCACGTGGGGAATCGAACCCGGGTCTTCGGCGTGACGAGCGAACGCTTTAACGACGAGGCTACCCCACCGCCCCTTGAGATGTCATAACAAGTATTCACACCCACAAATTGGTGATTAAAATGGACCAAGAACGCATCATGGCACGGTGATTAACACACTAATAAGGGGAACAAAATACTAGAATAGTTACTAGATAGAAAACAAATGTAGGTGCATTTAAACCTTAAAATACTACGGTGTGCATGGTATTATAAAGCACAATGTCTGTTAGAAATTGACTTACCGCGAAACACGACAATTTGAAGAACAACAATGACCAGCAGAGGAGCCATAGTAAAGCTTGAAAGGTAGTGTACCTTCAGGACAGATAGGTGCTGTTGGCGAGGAAGTACGCCTTATATACCTGGGGACATATCGTTCATTGTGATAATTCGGAGAAACCCGGATCTCCCAGATCGCATTTCGTAAGTGTTTATGATTACAGAAGCTCTGCCTGAAGACCAGGATATAAGTCAATGTGAATGTCATTGAAAAGTGACGACAGTGACTTAAAAATATTTAAGTGGTCACCCCTGGCTGATTTGGCCAGTCATTGTGACCCAGTGGAATTACACAGAAAATCCCCGCATATTTCCTACCGGTATCACAGGCCGCTGTCGGCGAAAATATCAGGTCATAGAAGACGTTTGTACGTGTAACGCCCATTTAAAAAATATAACTGATAATTTCGCAATCGAAATCATCCTTAATTTCCCAATGCATTATATTTCCATGATAATTGTGAAGCATTCCATTGCCCATCTTGAACCTTTATTACGACGTGAAATGATAAAAAGTTTTCTTATCTCAGTTTTCCCGGCGCTGTGGTAATAATATATACCATGGTGTAATAAAACATACATTCTCTTACCCTTCCAAATTCATTACAATCCCACATGCACCCGGGATTCGAACCCACTAGAGAGTCAGGCACCTAATCGCTAGCACACAAAGTCAGCCGCCTAACCCGCTCAGCCACCGCGACTTCCACTGGCGATTAAGTGCCTGACTTTGAGGGTGTGGGTTCGAATCTCGGATGGGACTCAACCCAAAAAAGTACTAGCATTTGTACTTTACTAAGAACGTGTAATCCCAAATAGTGAATCTTTTAAAGAAATACCCCTATAATTACTAGGGTCTTGCCTTAATCCTGACTTGAACAGAGGGCATATAATACTTGTACCCCACACAGCTGGGAAATAGCCTGTATTAAATATGCGGTTAAAAAGTAATGTAAGATGCTGAACAGAATATGGTTTTGATGATTTAATAAATTCAGCTGCTAGGAGGCCCAGGAGATTTATTGTTTTTCAGCTTGCCCATATTAGAGTTCACCTGGCGTTCAGTTATGACATCATTTAAGTCATCATCACACACAGTGTGACACACTGCACCTGGAAGGTCACATGAAGATAACTGTAAGTCTTGATCACAAGTCAACAAAGAGGAAACATGTTTGACCCAGTCACGTGGGTCAATATTAACATTTATAACAGGTGTTTTCCTAGTACACTTTAGTAAGTGCCAAAACATTTTAGGGTCCTCCCTGGCTTCCACAAGTTTGTGTTGCTTGTCTTCATAGTATTGTCTCCTTTTCACTTTAAAAAGGCATTTCAACGATGATCTTGGTGATTTGAACACATTAAAATCAACGCCATAGTCTCTGTGAGCTCTAAGAGCAGCATATTTCTTACATTTAAGTTCTCCTAATTCTTGGTCCCACCATGGAGGCTGGGTTTGAAGTTTCCTTGTGTTAGGTTTATATAGTTTCATAGCAAAGCCTGCAGACTGATAGAAAATGTTTGTGATAGCTAATATTGATGCGTCAATATTGTTATTTATCTTATCACACAGGGTTCCATGTTCAGCTTCGATTAAATCTTTAAAGTTTCTAATGAAATTGTCTGAAAGAATTCTGGTCCCATACAAACTTTATCCAATCATGTGAAGTTTGTTCATGTACAGTGTCACTAGTATGTAGTGTGGTATCTGTTTGTGTATCACCGTCACTGTTAGGTTCACAGTCACATGTTGAGAGACGCCAGTGTTTAATGAACATGATATTGGGAAATGATTGGAGTAATCAACATCTTCCACTTTAAAATCACTTATGTATGGAAATAGCTTTGCTGAAGCTATCACATAGTCCACAACACTTGAACCATTATAGGTATAACAGGTGAATTCCCCATGTTTATCTGCAAACAGTCTACCATTCAAAATATGTATACCAAAACTTCGACAGACTTCTGCCAGTTTTTTTCCATAATTATTCAAACATTGATCTTTATTGGATCTGGGGATGTCAAAGTCATCACTTGGGTAACCATCTATGTCATGTTGAATAAAATCAATGTTATCATTTGGAATATAGTCCAAAAGTGTTTACTTGCATTCTAACAACTAGGCTGCAGAAGTGGTGTGAGAGTAATAATACAATCAGTGAGTATCAGGCTGGATTTAGAGCTAATTATACCACTATTGACCATATTTTTTCATTGAATGCTGTTGCACAAAAGTATGCTCATAAGAAAAGGGGAAGATTTTATTGTGTTTTTATAGATTTCGCAAAAGCATTTGATACAATTAATCATAAAGTTCTATTTGACTGTCTAAAGGATGTTGGAATAACTGGTAAATTTTATAATATCTTAGTGTCCATGTATTCAATATTGGTAGCCTGTGTTAGGACTTCAAATGGCCTCACTGATACTTTCAGGTGTAATCAAGGCACGCGTCAAGGCTGCATTTTGAGTCCCCAGTTATTCATTATTTTTATCAAGTTCTTTTCAATTCTAGAAAGTTTTGGAGGAAAAGGTGTTAATATCAATATTAATGTTGATAATCTCTATGCATTAATGTTTGCTGATGATGTGTCAGGAGTTGCTGATACTGCACTACAGTTGCAGAAGAGGCTAAATGCACTAGAGGTATTTTGCAGGCATACTAGTATGAAGATTAATTTGGACAAAACAAAGATTATTGTGTTTCGAAACTCAGGATATTTAAGGCATTATGAAAATTGGTTCTTCGAAGGTAAACAAATTGAGGTTGTGTCATTTTATAGGTATCTTGGCATAGTTTTTACTCCTAGGCTATCATGGACTAAGGCTCACCATTGTCTGCTCTCTCAGGTTAATAAAGCACTTGTATCTATCTATTCCTTTCAAAGAAATTTGGTAATCTGTCAGCTCAGGATCTCTTTAAGTTGTTTGATTCTGTCATTCTGCCTATTCTGTGTTATGGATCTGAGGTTTGGGGAACATCATATTGTAAAATTATTGAAGGTCTTCAGATTAAGATTTGCAGACAATATCTCAGAGTTGGCAGAAATGTAAGTAGTAGTATGGTTCTAGGGCAATGTGGCAGGCTTCCATTACAATTTAACTATAATATGTCTAGAGTGGTTAAATATTGGTGTAGGTTAATTCAGTTAGAATCACATCGACTCCCATTTCAGGGTTATAATATGTTGAAATCGCTTGATGATTCAGGTAGGACTACATGGGCTACAAATATAAAAATATCTTATTTACATTCGGTTTTGGGTTTGTATGGCTCTCACAGGATGTCGGTGATAGCAAGGCATTTATGCAGCAGTTTAAACTTCGGCTTTCGGATAATCTCAAACAATCATGGTCTGCCACTATTCATAACCTTTCAGATTCATAATCATGATGCTAGAAAAATCATTTATTACTCCAGTTTTTCAGTATGATAATGTTAAGCAAACAAAACTTAATACACATAAATTAACAGTAAAGATAAAAATATTATCATAAATGTTTGTAATTTTTTTTAGTTTTGTTTAATGTATAGCATAAAACTAGAGCTGCAACTGTGAAAACATAAACCTGTCACTTTTATGTGCGCTTATTTCAACCAATTTATTTTGCATTATGGGCCTTTGACCATTATACTGAATAAAATATCTGTCTGTCTGTCTGTAATCCCAAATATAACATGTGTTACATTTGACCACTTTCTAAAATGGCATTGTGTAATCATGGACTAATTATTGATTTATTAATAAAATATATTGTTTGTACGTTTATTTTTATCATACATCAGTGTTTAAGTTATTGATGAGGATAACCTCTTTCCTTAATGGCTTAACAGCTTGCCATTTGCAGTGGCAGCTTCTCTGCCTCTTCGTAAAACAATTGGAAGAAGCAAAGTATTTTTTACTACCTCGGATTTCAGGTTCCTTTGTATTTGTATGCGTGTGCATACGTACGTCTTTCCTTCACCCAGTTCTCAACTTGGCCTGCCCTAGGAAAATAAACAAACTCTCTCTTGAATAAGCCATGTTTCTATCCCTCCAACATGACCAATAAAATCATTTAGACTCTTCTGAACCTGGGCCCCGTTTCACAAAGCTATCGTAGCGCCACGACTGTCGTACCTCCTATACTGTAACATAGACTTACGACAGTCGTAGAGTTACCATAGCTTTGTGAAACGGGGCCTTGGGAACAGTGTTGATATTGAAAAACCACCTGGGCCAAGATTTTCGAAGCTTTCTTAGAGCTAAGATAGTCGTAAGTTAATGTTAATGTATGGCACTTACGATTATCCGTAACACTAGGAGGACTTCGAAGATCTAGGTCCCAGTTGGTACAAGTTCATTATCTGTAGTAGTTACTTTGTATAACACACCACGCTTGGGTTTCAGCTTGTCAAAGCTGCAGTCTAAGTAAACTTAGGCTCAGTATTATTCGTTACACTGCTATACAGTATAGCATTGTAACGAATAATATTGAGCCTAAGTTTACTTAGACTGGTCAAAGCTGCGAGATAGGTCTGTAAATTCACTGCACTGCATGTAATCATTTCGTCTGCAAGAATTTTGTCATCCAATCCCACCGACACATGCTCTTCAGATCATAACCTGTATGACCAACATCGACCGACTGTGAGGATATGCATTAATCAGGCACCTCCAACTTCTTTATATGAACGCAAACACTACATGTTGTTGTAAATGGGTTTGTTCAAAATTTGCCTCCGTTCACCCAGCAGAAAAAATGGGTACCCGGTGGGATAAGTCATGTGACTATTAACCTTCTAGCGCCTCACCGACAGCTTGGGTTATCCGTGGTAATAATGATCAGATTATGTGTTAGCGCTCTGATTAAACAAACATAAAACTGAAATTGAAACTTGGTAACAATTTACACGCAGTCTGCCAAAATGTGCAAAACGTGACTATCAACGATGCTGTAAAGTATGGTCAACGACAATATGGACAACGAAGTAAACGACCACGTCAGAACCTGGTGTAGACACCTTCGCACGCATAACAACTGCCAGTTTCCTAATCACACTGGTCAACAAGCGTCGAATACTCAGCATCGGAATCCTCTACCATGCCTGCATATTTTGAACATGGGGATCTCAGCTCGGACTTGGCGTCCAAGATAGGTAAAGACAGGTTCCATGGGGTTTAAAGGGGCGATGACGGATCAACGGTCGACGTCAATCGGTTAATGCATATCTGACGACATGCAGGCACTGGGACGGTTATCAAAATGTGACACGACGGCGGTATCGAGTACTAACTGTTGATGACGTTGACCATTGATCGTCCGAGACACTACTACAGTATAGTGAGATCCAACTTGCAGTCATACGAAACGCAATCCCACACCATCAGAGAGCAACCACCAAAGGGTTCAGCTGCACGTAGCATCCTCGTGATACGCCTCGTTACGACGTCTACATACGCCATAACGTCAATCGGGAACGTGTGGAATATAAACACTTTCATCAGACCAATGAACTCTACGCCATGCCCTCAGTTTACGGTTTTCTCGGAACCTACAGCCCGCCAGGCTTCCTTGCCGGGGCCTATCTGTGAAGAAGGAACGCGCGATCGGACGACATCGCCTCAGATCTGAGTCCCGATCCACAAAGCGTTCCAAACGTTACGAAGTGTCGTAACTATAATTTATAACAGGACGAATGTCGTTGAGCTACCAACGCTTTGTGGATCGGGAACCAGCATCCTTCTGATGGTACTGGTCGAGAGTTGGACATCTTTTACAAACGTAACGACACCTTCATGGCTCTCTAGACTGAGTGAG